CTCGCCAGAATCATGCAGCATCTGCAGCAGTTGCAGCTGGCAGCACCTGACGTGGCCGAAAAGATCTGTTTTGTCGTGGGCGGGTCTATGGCGATTTGTTGGCAGAAGAGTTGGGATGGAATCTCCGAGAAATATGTCGTAATGCGCCGATGGTTCGTGGGCGGGGATGAAATTTTACAGCGGTCGCTCCCCACCGTCACTGTTGCTGCCGCCTTCTTCAGTTCGTCGTAAGTCGTTCGTACCCCTTGAAAAGTCCGTGTAGTTCCCGCGCCGTTGCCCTGCGTAAATTTCGCGCGCGTGTAACCAAACTTCGAAAGTACTGCCACAAAATTGCCGCGCTTTCGCCGTAAAACCGTGAAGTCCTTCGTCAAACTCCGAAATCGTCGCTCGAGAAGTAGCCCCGTAAATCCACAGGTACATGTGCAGTTCTCCTCCGAAAATCTCGGACGTGCTGTAGCCGCCCACCCGGTCACCATCAGTTTCCTTCGGTTACCCGACCCCAGCGTGTGGGTTCAATCGAGAACCGGGGACTGCCCTGGGTCTTCCGAGACCGAATTTCACGGAACCTAGTGGCATCAACGCCTTTGACCCCGTCGTCGAAACTGCTCCCGTCGATGTCGCTTAACTGAAAACCACGCAAACTCCCACTGGCGCTTTGCGATGTTTCACCTCATCGCTCGTCACCGGCAGGTAAATCCCGAAGCCTCGGCTGCTCCCACGCTCCCTGAAGAATTTCCCGCGGTGTCCGTGTAAACACCCGTGGGTTCTAGGTATCAACCGCACTCCAAGAAACGAAGAAACACCCTCAGCTTCAACTCTTTTTTTTTTTCGTAGGAAGATAACCCCGAAAATCGTGGTTGAGGCTGCAGTCCCGAAGTTATTTTCCGTCGTATAGCCCCGACGTTTCCGCCGTTTTTTCCCTGGTACTCCGATGTTCACCCATCTTCGTACCCGCCGGAACTACTTAGCGAATCCCAGGTATCCTTGGCAATGTACCGCTCGCCGCGCCTCCATGTAACGATATCAAACCCTTTCGGGGGTCTACCGAATAGACTCCGAAATTCGCGGTAGATTGGTGCACGGGCTCAACCTATCACTCAAGTGATCTGCTGGATCACCCACAACTTTCCCTCCGTCGTCATATTTTTCGTATTCACCCCCCGACAATTCCGCTTCCCGCCGTTCACCCAGCGTCCGCTTTTGTCGGATGGGGTATCGTCGTTGTTGCCCACGCGAACTCGGCCACGGTGGAGAGGCAAAAACTATCGGAGTCGGGGCAGCCTTAGTTAAAAGGAAACTGTCGCCCAACCGTTTTGCAGCCCGCCGTGCCTATCACGCCACGAAAATTCCACAGCTTCCCGGTCTCAGCTTCGCCGCTGCGCCGTCAATTCGTGTAGACGCCCGGGTCAGGAGAAACCTGTAGACTGCACCATTTCTTCTTCGCAGCTCCCCGACTTTTTCGCGTGCCGTTCACCCAGCCCGCTTTTGTCGGAGTAAAACAGTTCCGCGAGCTTCACTTTTTTTTTGTCCTTTTATTGTACAGCTGTTGAACGGGCACCAATCCCGGTACCTTTAACCAGCGCAGGGTAGGCCACGTGTTCACCCCCGTTATTCGGCCAAGTAGGTTGACTGCATGAGTCAGAACCAGGACTTGGGTGGGACGGTGAGGTTCGGGCGAAGTAGGGCCGCAGATCGATTCCACCGGCTTTTAATCTGCCCCCGCAACGTTCTTCAACCCCCGCTTAGCCGTTGGGCCGTTTCTTCTCGCGTGTCCCGGCAGCCTGTACCGACCCCTCCGAAATTATCGGGCGGTACCTTGGACACCGTTTAACCGTGGGTTGTCAGCAGCTGTCCCCGAAAACGACGTCCGTGGTCAGTGGAAACTGTTCTTGATACTGCCGGCCAGCTTGCAACAACACCAGGCACGCAGCGTCGCACGAGTTCTTTCGAGGTGTACCTGCCCCGATTTCCCTCGTCGCCTGCGTCCCACTCCTCGTAAGTGCGATTTAGCCACCGCGTTTTCCGTTGCAGCCCGTAAGCGTCACCAGATATGAAGCCCCGTCTGTCCACGAGCACTCCTGCCGAAAATAGTTGATGACGCGCCCGCCAATGCGGTAAAAGCCGCCGCACTTAACAGGTCGGGCGGGACGGCAGTTAACTCCCGCGAAGTCGGGCAGTCTTGTGTCGTCTCTCCTCGCCACCGACTTTTTCGGACGCAAACTCCTTTTGCGCCTGGCGAGTTCCCCAGCCGACTTTTCCTTCAACAGTAGCTCCGAAATTATCGCCACAGTGACGCACGTCCACTGTCGCCAGCTGCCGAAACACCTCCCGCGAGCCATGCCCGCAAAGTGACGACGAGCCACCGTCGTAACTTGCCGCATCAGTCGAGCTCCGAAATTGTCGCGAAGCTGTTGACCCAAATCCGACGGCGTCAACTGCCACACACGTTGACGATTCCGAAATCTTCGTGCAGGTGCCGACGCAGGTCCGCTGACGCCAGCTGCCTCACAAAATCCGAAATCGTCGGTAAATAACGCAGCGGAATAGTACTCACGTTCAGAGTCGCGACAGCTCCAGCTGTCCGTTGCCCGGGGGGAGGGAGGTCACGGTCGATCGCGACCGTTCGAGCTAAGGATCTGGCGGTGCCGAAGGAGTGCCCCGTAAAACCATGGCCGCGAAGAGCAACTAACTAGTTCTCTTGGCCGGCCTACGCAACTCCTGGACCCCAAGGCATCCTTACTCGTCCCCCCCCCGAGGGGTAATACACTCTAAAAAGCGGGGTAGGCTAGGAAAGTAGCTCTGATACCAGGTGTTATGAATGAACTTGTCAGAGTGCGCAGATATCGAATAACGAGAATGAACTGATTACAGAATGTCTGAACAATGAAGTAGCGAGGCCTAAATAGGGGAAAACCTAGCTAGGCGGGGATGGTGTGGTAGGGTTGGCTCGCGAAGTGTCGCGATTGGTGAGGAAGCGACTCGGTGAGGTTGGGATGCGAAATTGTAGGCCGAACCAGTTGGTCGCGTGGCCCTCGGGATGGCCTCGCTATCGAGCGCCTCAGTAAGGATTTGTAAATCCTTACACCTTTCACGTTGCCACCTGCAAAGTTCATTGTTCACACGCTGTCCTCTTGGGCAACAAAAACTTCCACAAGTAACCCCATCAATTTCTGCTACTGTAACGCGTTAGTTCCCCGCGGATATTGATCGGATCGGATTTCCTTTCATTTGAGTTCCAGCTCAAGAAAGAAAATCGACACAATCGACACGTCAGCTCAATAGTTTTGATCTGATTAATGACGTGGCATGCATCTCAAAGCATCCGATTGCTGCAGTGTTTCTGGAGTTGTCCACGCAGCTTCGTTGTTCGTTTCCTCCGCACACTTCGTGATTGCTGCATGTTTTCCATATCTCTGATTCGATGGTCCAAGCAACCAGCTGCCTTTACTGTACCCCTCAACCTGTTTTCTATCTGCCCTGGGCAGAGTCTACGTTCGGCCGAAACGTGTTTTTGAGAGGTTCCACAGGCTTTTTGGATAAAAAGGTATTCGAAAAGCCTTCCCATCCACTTTCACCCGCACACACCAGCACGAAAGTTTTCTGAGAGCTAGGGGACGGATTGAGCCACCGTTCTGCCGGAATTGTTGCCTACATATACGACAGGAAAGGTTAATCTGGGGCGCTGGGCGATCAATCAACAGGTTTCCTGGGCACCAACACACGGACCACTGCCATTCCATCGAACCCATCCCACTCGTCAACCCCATCCCATCGCATCCTATCCTATCCCATCCCATTCCATCCCATCCCTTCCCATTTCATCTTATCCCATCCCATCCCACCCATCTCATCCGATCGCTCATCCCATCCCAGCCATAGTGACGCCATCCCGTCCCCTCATCACAACACGGATGCTGCTGGTCTCGTCTCGTCTTGTCGCAACTGCTCCGCTCCGCCTCTCATGAGCGTGCGCGGTGCACAACAGTACCCTCAAGAACGATCAAGGCGAGGCGAGGACAGCCGCGTAAGGCGGGCTTTTGTTGCGCGTGGGCCACCCTCTCCTCTTCCGCTCCACCTCACTTTCTGCTTCCTGCTCTCTTACACTCTCCAGCAGATTGGATAAGACCCCTATGGCATTCCACCTTGCTTCCACATCTCACTTTCCTGGAGAGCTGGCCTGTTGTGACTCCACTCCTTTCCATACTTACACTGCCCATCACTAGCAATCAGCTGTGTCCTCCTTACCTTCGCTCCGAACCCCTTCACCACTCACGGAGCGCGAAGTTCTAACGGCTCAACGCGCGCAGTGCTAGAAGCTGACGATCGTCGCAGTACGCGAAATTAATCTCGCAGTTTCCGCAATGGCCGCCGCTTCGTGCGACGACGACACCATCCTCCTGCTTCAACCAGACGGCGGCGTGCGCATGTTCTCCGCAGCGCGCCCCGGCGACCCGCCCCTCCTCGTCGCCGACGTTCTCGCGGAGTTCCCCAATTGCCGCGTCTGTCGCCTCGACACCCCCTCTTCCTCCCCGGGACGATCCGCCTGCCTTTCCCCGCACGCCGCGCTTCGACCCGGAACAACGTACTTCCTCGTCGAACCAATAATGTCTCACAGGGTTGACCCTGGGTATTGCGGCTTCGACCCCGTTACAATGGAACCCGTTACAAGAATCAAGGGCCCTGGCGCAGAGCCCGTCTATCGGCCGAAGAGCGGAGGCGCCTGCGGCGCGGCGGGGCAGTTTCCGGACTTTACGGAGACCGCGGGCGGTTATTTCCCCTCAGGCGCACAACCCGGCCAGCATTCTTCCCACTCCAGAAATACCAGCCTCAGCAGCAGCAGTACCTACAACAGCAGCAGCAGCAGCAGCAGCTGTGGCGGGTTCAGCGGGTGCGGGAGCGACACGAGCTCCGGCTCCCGGCGGCTCACGCGGGGACTCACGTCCCCCGCCACCATGCGCTCTTCCCCCACGCACTGCTCGCAAAGCTTCCGCGCGCATCAAATGCCGTCCGACGCGCAAGAGCCGCTCGACATTTCCGCGGTCGCCGCGAGAGCTGCTGCCGCATATGGCGGAAACGCCTCTCCCATGTCGGGTATGTCTCAGACGGGCCCTTATATGACCCGCACCGCGTCCTGGTCCGCCGCTTCCGCTCCCGGGTGGGCCGATGCGTACGGAGCCGCGCTTAGCTACGAAACCGGCGCGCACGATGCTTCCCCCTCGCGATCGTCTCTAGATTTGGAATCGCCGCCGCAAACGCGTTCGCGCCACGTGTCAGCGGAAGACGCGGCGGCCTTCGAGTTTATCAAGCAGCACAACGCGACAACGTCCTCCGCGAGCAGGCGGTTCCAGCGCGCGCCGCTGCCCCCGCGGTGTTCCGCGCAGCAGCAATCCCCGCGGGAGCAGCAAACAGCAGCAGATGTGCTGGCCGCAAGTTCTTCTGGTCGGCTTGCGGCGCAGCGGAGGAGCAGTACCCGCAATAAGATCGTTTCGCTTGAAGATATTGTTTACGGACGGGTGTCCTCCTGAGGCACACACCTACACCCATTTTGTTCAACCTGACATCCTACAACGGCAGGAGTGTGGAGCAATTTCCCTCCACAGGAGGGTTTTTCCACCCAGCTTTCAATAAGCTGCCTCCTTTTGGGTTGGTGTAAATGTATTGTGACTATTTTGTTTATATGTTTTCCCAAGGGTGTAGCTCTCCATAAAGAATGCTGCTCACCTTGGTTATGAGTTGTAGTGTTTTGTTTTGTGCTGAGTAATTTTAGCTGGCAGTCAATGTTGCCACATTCCTAGATTTCCAAGAGGAATTACAGGTTGAAACGCCCATTGTACACACGCTTTCCTTTTGTTTTGGGAGCTACAATTCAGTAAAATGTCTCTGTAAGCCAAAGAGCACACAGCTACGGTAGCTTCAACCCAGCATCTGAGCCACCCTAGTTTCATCAGGGAGCGCAGGAATGGCGCCTCTAAGCGTGGTGGTGATGGCTCCACACGCATTGGCAAACAGCAGCGCTTCCTTTAGCTTCTCCTCATCTACCCTCAACCCAGCATCTGAGCCACCCTAGTTTCGTCAGGGAGCGCAGGAATGGCGCCTCTAATTGTGGTGGTGATGGCTCCACATGCATTCGCAAACAGCAGCGCTTCCTTTAGCTTCTCCTCATCTACCCTCAACCCAGCATCTGAGCCACCCTAGTTTCGTCAGGGAGCGCAGGAATGGCGCCTCTAATTGTGGTGGTGATGGCTCCACAAGCATTCGCAAACAGCAGCGCTTCCTTCAGCTTTGCCTCATCTGCTAGCAACATATCCAAGGCCTCAAATCCACTGCGACCGCTGCTGCCTCCTCCTGCTAGCTTGCGGAGAAACCCAGCAACAAAGGCGTCGCCAGCACCAGTGGTGTCGATAGCAGAAACACTGAATCCATCCACTCTCCCCTGGTACTGCTCTGTGTAATACCTGCATCCCTTCTCGCCCTCAGTTACCAGCAAGAGCTTGAGCTTCCCTTTCCCGTCACCATTGCCGCTGCTGCTGTTTTTGTGGCTGAGATTGAACAGGGACCGTGCCACGTCATCGCTGTACGGGTCGCCGCCATTGGTCAGAAACGCCACCTCCTCGTCGCTCACTTTGATGATGTGCGCGCGGTCCCAGATGCTCAAGATGCCGTCCCGCGCCGCTTCCGGAGACGGCCAGAGTGGAATACGGAGATTAGGGTCGTACGAGAGAACAGTGTTGCCGCTGCTTTCCACTGCATCTAACAAAGCTAGATGCGCGGATTTGCACGGATCTGTGATTAAACTGATGGATCCGTAGTGTAGCACAGATGCGCTTGTAGCGAGGGGGAGATCCAGCTCCTCCGGCTGCAGCAGCATGTCCGCGCTAGGGTTCCTGTAGAACATGAATTCCCTCTCGCCGTCGGATCTGAGTGTGACAAAAGCGAGGGCTGTGCGCGCTCCCGCGTCGAATCTTAGCGCTGACGTGTCAACGCCGTTTGTTTTAAGAATCCCGCCCAGCATGTGTCCGAATTCGTCCTCTCCGACCTTCCCCATGAACGCCGCGCGTCCGCCGAGCCGTGCAATGCCGACCGCCACGTTGGCAGGCGCGCCGCCAGGAGCTTTCATGAACGCAGGCGCTTCGGCGAGAGAGACGCCGTTGACGGTGGGAACGAAATCGATGAGCATTTCGCCGAAGCACACCACGAGCCCGGAGGAGGAAGAATCGCCGGAACCAGCGGCATCAGCTGCGTTTACACTGGCCATCTCGTGACGATTGGACGATGCGACGACACGGAAGGAGGAAAAATCGCGGTTCCGTCGGAGAGGAGATGCTGGAACCGATCTATTGACAGAGGATGGAGCGAGAGGAAGAGGAAACCCGGAAAAGGTGGATTTGAGCTGGTATAAAACACAGCCGCCAGAAACGGAATGGGTGCAAGACGGAACGATCCGGCTACGCTGCTTGAGAGTCTCAGTACAAGCAGAGCGTGCTGTCAACAGGGCAGCGGCGGCGTTGGGAGGCGAGAGGATAAGCGTCGACGTGGGGAGCATGGCGGGAGTCACGGAGGGAAATGGGAACTGGGTGTTGCGTGGTACCTAGGCTTGCTGAAATGGGCGAGTCCAAACCAAACCAAATCCGTGAAGCTCAGGTCAAATTCTCAATCTCACCTTTTTTTTCCTGCCTCCTGATTTGGCTGGTCCGTGCATTCCCAAGGCATGGATACTAGCGACGTGCACGGTACTCGGTCCGAAACTTTTTGGGTAAGTTTACGCTAGTTTCCTCGGAGTGCGCGCTGTTTCGGTACGGTACGTATTGTCCTGTTTGCGGAACCTTCTGCGCCGTAGATGGAGATTTGGACAGTTGAGAGGAGACGCGACCGACCAATAAGGTACGTGAGCGGCAGAAGTGATGAAGTTCCACTAACGAGGGCCGGAGTGGACGGAAATGTCGAAGGCAGGGGTCGGTGTTGAGGGACTCTAAATAATCGGACAATAACGTATTACGGTACATGACTCTAACCTAGATCATACACAGTAAGAAACACAGCGAACAATCATAGACCCGTACCATATGTCATTTCCATTTACAATCAACCATTCCAACTGCAGAGACGTGTCTTTACAAGAGAACGAGGCAGCTGCATGGCTGTGAGGATTGAATGGTAACCAGCAGCAGCAGAGGAGGATCGAGCACGAGCCAGCCAATGAATTGGTTTATGGCCATGCTGTCATAAAACGCTCTGCCGTGCTGAATCCACCAACATCCCACAAACCACGCATAAGCCTCCTGCATGAACCCATCACCAGAAACCACGACCCTTGCCACCAACCAAACATTCTTCAAACCCCTAGAAAATTGCTACTACTGGTATTACCTTCAGAACTGCCACTACCTCTTTCCCCTGCTTCTGCTGCTGCCGCTGCCGCTGCTGCTGCTTGAAGATTTTTTAACTTTACTGATGGTTACTATGCTATACGGTTAGTGCTGCATGTGGTTACCTCGCATGTGCTCGTCCACCAATGAAATGATTTCATTTACTTGAGGCATGCGGCCCTCTGCCAGCTTGGAAAACAGCTAATCAGTAAGGGAGCAGGGAAGGCGTGGAGGGTGGCATCAGGGGGAATGTGAAGGAAACACAGATGGGAGGAGGAAAGATGTGGCAATCAGGCTACAGGGAAGACGTGCAGGAGGCATCAGGGGGATGAAGGAAAAATAGACAGGAGGGGGGTGAGTTGGAGAAAGGCATCAGGAGGAACACGGAGGAAAAGGAGACGTGATGGGGAGGGGGGGGGGGGGGGGGGGGGGGGGGGGGGGGGAGGAATTGTTGCATTCTCAGAACAGCAGTTGACCTGTTACCCCACACCATTCAATGGCAACCCATGTCAGCCCACTGCTACCAATGCTCACCATGCGGCTGTGCAAGACGAGCTCAGAAGCTCCAATGCTGGCTAACAACCCGTGCATCACATTGGGATGTGGTGGTGATAGGGGAACTCCGATTTGACACGTCACACTGCCACCCACGCCCACCACCAACCATACCCCACCCAACCCAACCAAACCCAACCCAGCACAACCCAACCCAGACCAGCCCATCCAAGCCCAGCCCAACAAAGCCCAGCCCAACCAAGCCCAGCCCAACCAAACCAAGAGCCAACCATTGCTACCAATGCTCACCGTGCGGCCATCCAGGACGAGCTCGAAAGCGCCCGTGCTGGCGAGATTCCCGTGAATCACATTGCCCACGATCCACACGGTCGCTGCCGAGCCTAGCCGGTTGGTTCGGATCTGCTCGTACCTGTGGGTTGGGGAACCCACAATAATCGCAGGTTTGAGTCGACAAGGGAAGTGGTGGGGGTGCGGGGGGGGGGGGGGGGAAGAGGAGGGGAGGGAGGAAGGTTTGAGGAAAGGATATGGGAGGGTGAGTTCTGCAAACCAGTGGGAGGGAGGGAGGGCTGGGGGAAGATAGGGGGAGGGGAGTGGGGGGTGGGTGGGAGAGAGGGGGAGAGAGAGCGGGAGAAAGGAGCAGAACAATAGAGAGGGATGGATGGAAATCAAACTTCACTTCCCTCCCTGGACAAACGTACTCATTCGACAGAAAACGAAACAAGAAGTGAACAACTCACTCACTCACTCCCTCTATCACTCACTCATTCACCAGTGAGGGAAGGGCGGCGGGAGGCCAACAACAGGCATGCCATCAGCTAGTCTCCCGCGAATATCACGGCGATCGCCGCCATCTGCACTTGGTTCCAAGAATTCTTCATAAAAAAACGCACCACGGGGGGAAGGGCGGCGGAAGGCCGACGACGGGCAGCAGCGAGTCTCCCGCAAAGATCACGGCGATCGCCGCCATCTGCGCCGCGGAGAGCAGCTTCGAGAGCACCTGGCAGTACGCGGGGGGCGGGTGGTTTCCGAGGCTGACCTCCAGGTCCGGGTACCGATCCAAGAGGATCTGCCGAACCTGCTGCGCCGCCCCCCTGGGAAGAAGGGACGGAGCGGGACGGACAGATAAGAAAAATCCCTTACTTAGATTCACGGCGATCATGGGAGTCGCTGATTGAATGCTTCAGCAGCTCAACAACCCGGCGAGAAATAAGGAAAGACGATTTAAAGGGAATGCCAAGAGAGAGGTATTCATAAGCGAACGGGGGAGAGAGAAAGAGATTTAGGAACCTGAGTGGCAGTCGTACCTGTAGGATCAGGAAGTGCAAAAGGAGATTAAGAGGTTGTGCGCATGGTTGCGACTCGGAGTGGCCGACGCCGACGCGAACATTGCGCCGCCGCCAGTCGCGGATGCTGGAATAGACTTCGCGGCTAACCCGACGCCAGACACGGCGACAGATGCGGCGGAGGTGGCGGACTCAGGGCCGGATTGCGCCTGCGAAGCGTCAGGCGAAGCGGTGAAGGGACGGATGACGTCAGAGGTGAGGGAGAGCGCGACGAGCAGCACTGCTAGGAGAAGCGGCAACTGCCGCTGCCAATCCATGGCGGTGTGAGCAGAAATGCAGACATTGAGGCAGCTGGATAAGCCTACTCAAATTAACATTACAAGCTCTGGCCAAACAGCTGGTAGTGCTCATGCCGGAGTGGTTAACGGGACAGACTAGAAATCTGTTGGGCTCTGCCCGCGCAGGTTCGAATCCTGCTGAGCACGTTTTTTCGGATCAGTTTGTTGTTGAATGAACCTTGATGAACCTTCTCCACCTGGCATCAATGCAAACCCCCATATGTAGTCTGATTGAAAATCTACCCTGCTGAGGTGCATGGAATCTACAGCTTTCTAATCCACGGTTCACCGCATGGGCACACGGTTTATGCTGTGAGAATTTACGGCAGTTTTGATTTGAGAGACTTTTTGTTGATGGTGGAATTACGCGACTAACAATGAAACTTCACACGGAAAGGAGGACGACTTCTTATCTCACGACAGCTGTGTGAGTGTGCTGACGAGCGCCACCACCGCCTCCACATCTGACTGTATCAATGGCTCCCTGGCTGCCGCTGCGAGTTACGAAAGTGAAGTCAACAGATGGGGGACGAGGCAGGAAAAGAGACACATTTGGAAGGCATAAATTCACGACAGCTGGGTGAGCGTGCTGACGAGCGCCACCACCGCCTCCACACCGGACTGAATGGATGGCTCCCTGGCTGCCGCTGAAAGATGAGAAAGGGACCAGCAGGGAGAAGAGGCAAGAGAAAGACGCGTTTGGCAGGCTTCTAATCTACCACGTCACTCTACAACCCTCCCCTCCTGCTACTACCCTGTCTGTCCCTCACCTTGCACTATGAGCTGCACGGCAGCATCAAAATCATCCAGCCTGAGAGCAGAGGGCAGCATGGTGGGACCCGCTAGTCGCACCAACGCCACCTCCACCGCCAGCGCCCTCACCAGCACCCCCAGAAGCAACAAGTGCGTCCCCCCACCCTCCACTTCGCACCCACCTTGCACTATAAGTTGCACTGCGGCATCAAAGTCATCCAGCCTGAGGGCTGAAGGAAGCATAGTGGGACCCACAAGGCGAACCAACGCCACCTCCACCGCCAGCGCCCTCACCAGCACCCCGAGAAGCGAGAATTGACTCGCCCTAAACCCCCACTCCTGCTACTACCTTGGCTGTCTCTTACCTTGCACTATGAGCTGCACGGCAGAGTCAAAGTCATCCAGCCTGAGAGCAGAGGGCAGCATGGTGGGACCTGCTAGTCGCACCAACGCCACCTCCACCGCCAGCGCCCTCACCAGCACCCCCAGAAGCAGCCGACAGACGGACAGCCGGGCGGGCGGCAGAGAGGAGGGGGAGAGAGAGGAGGAGGAGGAAGGGGAGGAGGAGGGGAGCGAGGGGGAGGAGGAGGAGGGGATTGACGGGGAGGAGCGGGTGGGTGGGGAGGTGAGGCTGGGGTTTCCAAAGAGGGTGGTGGGGCGGAGAGGAGAGGAGGGGTTGAGGGCGGATGGGTTGGTGGGGGGTTGGTTTGGGGTGGTGGTGGAGGAGGAGGGGTGGTGGTTGGTTTGGTCTGCAGATGCGAGAATGTCGAGAATGATTGCCACTGCTTGGTCCTGGTGAGTAGGGGGTGGGAGGGAGAAAGGGAGGGAAAATGGAAAGAGGTGAGACAGGCGAAGGAAATGGTAAAAGCGGAACTGAGCTGCATCACCACACCACACACCCCAAGCTCACCTCTAAACCGTGCAGCACCTCTGGTGCTGGCAGCACCGGCGCACCTTCACCCATCACCACCACTGCTGACGCCGCCCCTCCCATTACCCCCGCCATCACCCCTCCCCCTCCTCCCCCGAATCCTCCCATCCAGCCCCCCTCTCCTACCTCCCCTCCCCCCACCCCCCTCCCTGCCCCTGCCACGTCAGCACACCCCCCTGCCATGTCAGCGGCCGAGGGAAAATTTCTGCGGAGGAGGGCCGTGAGGAAGTGTAGGGAGTGTAGAGCGAGAGAGTACACCTCGATTGCTACAGTATCCGTGTATTCTGAATGCAGACGACCAACACCACCCGCTCCTCCTCCCTTCCCGTCTCCTACCCCCAGTCCGGCCTTCCCACCCGCTGCCGAACCTCCAGGCTTGGTTTGCACTGCCGAACCTGCTCCGAACCCAGCCTGCCCCTGCTGCCCCTTCGCACTCCAGACACCCAAACCTCCCGCCGTGCCTGTGCTTGTACCGGGTGTGCTTATAAGCGGGGATTGGGGTGTAGCTGGGGAGGTGGAGGCTACTTTAAGCGTCCCAGATTTGATTCCCTCTGGTTGACCGGTAGGACTCACGCCCTTGCCTGTGAGAGTAGGGGAAGGGGGGAAGAGGGCAGCAGCAGAGGGAGTGGTGCTGGTTGTAGCAGCTGTAATGGCTGTAGCGGGTGTGCTTGCTGCTGCTGCTGCTCCTCCTCCTGCTGCTGCTGGTGTTGCCAAAGAGAGGGACTGAGCAGCAGTGGTTCCTGTGGCTCCTGCTGGCGTCCCATTCGCACCACCAGCACCAGAAGCAGTACCAGCAGCACCAGCAGAACCAGCAGCAGTAGCACCAACAGTCCCAGCAGCAGCGGCTGATGCAGCATTAGAGGAGGTTTCTCGGCGAGCGGCAGCAGCAGCAGCGGCGGCGGCGGCAGTGGCTTTAGCAGTAACAGCAAACCAGCCCTTATGACACCCTACAGTGGCAGGCCGTGCGTGTGCTGCTGCCTCCTCCCTACCACTCATGTGACACACTAAACTGCTCGCTCCCCCTACAGGCCTCGCCAACCCCTCCCGTGCGATGAAAGCCAGGAGGAGAGAGCAGGAGGCGGATAGATCAGATGAGAGGTTGGGGGGGAAGGGAGGGGAGTGGGGAGGGGAGGGAGAGGGGGGGAGAGTGGGGAGGAGTTGGTGGGAGTTTTGGCAGAGGAGGGAGAGAACGCGATTGGTGGATCGGAGGGCGGTTAGGCTTGTGATTAGCTGATGGCGTTTCTTGGTTTGGTGCCCTCGTGACTGTGTTGATTGTGACTGTAACGAGGGGTGGGGGAAGAGGAGGGATGACGCGGAGGAGGAGGAAGGGGTGGGGGTTGAGAGGGAGAGGAGAGAGCGTGAGGGGTGGAGAGGAGAGGAGAGAGCGGCTAGGAGAGAGGGGAGTTGGAAAGTGAGGAAATCAAGGGCGAGTCTTGCTGCAGTGGAGGAGAGAGAGGAGGAGGCAGTCGAGGGGGAGAGTGAGAAAGGGGGAGCGGAGGAGGAGGGGGAGAGAGTGAGAGAGTCGGAGAGGGAAGGGGGAGGGAGGAGAACGCGGAACATGCAGGTGGCAACGGTGAGAGATAGAGACCATAGTTCCCATGCCTCTCGCACTGACGCACTCTCCTCTTCATGATCCATATCATATCCGGCATCATATCTGAGATTCTCTTCAAGATTATATCTCCTTTCATGACGGTTGTTTCGACCCATGGCATCTCCACTCACACCCACCCATCCCCATTCCCCTACTCCTACGACTCCCCTCCCTGCTAATCCCCCTGCTGCTGCTTCTGCCGCCGCTGCTGCTGCTGCTGCTGCTGCAGTGAAATCCGAACCCCCTCTATCAGCATACAGCCCGCCAAAGGCAGCGGAAGCTTCCTGGAAAGGGCCGACGCTGAGGTGGGCGTGAGGTGGCAGGCCATCAGTGATTTTGCTGATGTGGCGCAGGAATCCAACGGCCAGGAGGAGATCTGCGCCCTCGCGCGTGGATGAGAGGGTGAGGCAGAGACTGAGAACAGCCCGAGCAGATGCAGAGCGAGAGAAACGAGAGGAGCGGGAGGAGAGAGAGGAGAATGAGGAGAGAGAAGAGAGAGAGGAGAGAGAGGAATATGGGGTTGATCCATCCCATGTGCTGTTCCCAGATTCTGCTGCTGCGGCGGCGGCGGCGGCTGCTTGTGAGGGTGGAGGGCGGTACTGGAGTGTGGAGGAGAGGAGGGAGGGGAGGGAGAGATGGGCCGACACGAGCGGGCGCCATGTGAGGGGGGAGAGGAAGCACCTCAGGGCTATCTCCACCACTGCTAGAGCCTGCATCGGAAGGTTCCTGGACGCGTCTGGCGCGCTGATGGACCCCTGCGCGCCTTCTTGGGTGTTCGCGGAAGCTGCTTCGAGGAGCGCAGGAAGGTTCTCGGAAAGTACCACCGTGACGTCAGCTGTTTTGTCTTGTAGCAGGGAGACGGTGACGGGTGTGGCGGAGGAACCTGGTAACTCGCTCCTCCTCTGTTCTGACGTCAGCATGACGTGGATCAGCTGCAGGACCAGTAGCAGGCTGCCAAGTGTCGACACGGCAGGCCAGGACCCCACGAGTTCTGCCAGCTCAGCATCCATCAGCTTCCGAGAAGCTTCCATGAGCCTTCTCACAAGGGTCGAGGCAAAAGTCGCAGCGGATTCTAAGAAACCCTGTTGACTTGCCAGGCTCTTTTGTCTTTCTTGACCAAGAAGCTTCCCGTGAATTTCTTGCTTTTGGTGGTGGGTCCATCGGGTGATTAAGAGGTGGAGGAGGCGAGAGGAGGAGAAGAGATAAGCGGCAGGGGAAGGGAGAGGAGGGGAGGAGGGCGAGGAAGGGGGAAGAGGAAGGACAGAGGAGCATGCGACAAGGAGCGAGGAGGAGAGAGCGTTGATGGTGCTCTCAAGAAACGAGGGCTCGACCACAGCCGATCCATCTGCACCGCACTGCACTGCCCAGGGATCTTCCACACCCACCATACTCCCCTGAAACCCATCTGCACCGCTCAGTCCTCCCCCGCTGCTGACAGCGAGCACATCTCGTGCAGGTCTTGCTGCTCCCAGCAGGCCCCCTGCCTGCCACAGGAACCCATCTGCTACCAAACACGCCTCTGCTGCTGCTGCCACCAGGGCTACAGAGGGTGAATTTCCACTAGCAGAACCACCACCACCACTGCCACCTCCACCAGCAGCAGCACTGCTGCTGCTGCTGCTCCTGCTGTGGCTGCCCCAGAAGCGGAGACCAGCAGAGGCAGTGAGTCTGGGAGGGAAGAATGCAGTAGTCATGCTGCATGCAATGCTCTCTAACCGCTCTACCCTCGCTGCTGCTGCTCCCTGCCCTTGCCCCGCTTCCCCTCCTCCTTCCCCTCCTGTTGCTGCTCCTCCTGCTGATGCCCCTCCTCCTGACTCCAACCCCCCTCCCAGCAACCCCCCCACTCCTCCCTCTGCTCCTGCTGCTCCTGCCAGGGCCTGCAGAAGCTTCCCGGCAGCTTCCACCGAGTCCAGGCAGCGTTCAGCAATGGCAAGAGAAGAGGAGGAGAGAGGAGAGGGGGGTGTGAGGGAGGAAGAGGAGGAGGCGAGGAGGGGAGTGGAGGAGAGGAGGGTGGAGAGGGAGGAGAGAGAGGAGAGGGAGGAGGGGAGTTGAGAGGAGAGTGAGGAGCAGAGGGCGGAGAGGAGAGCCGGTTTCCAGTCAGAATGGTGGGGATGGTGGTGAGGGGCGAAGTGATTTGAGGAAAGTTGATGGTGTAGCTGCTGCAGAAGTGGGTGTGAAAAGAACTGCACGGGGAAGATGGGGAGAAAGAGATGGGAGTATGGCAGTTATGAGAAACAATCAGGTGAGATGTGCCGTCGAGAATGCACGGCACGGCAGGGAGTTGAGGCAAGCGGATTGAGAACCATGAGAGAGGGAAGGGAAGGGGACAAAGGGAAGAAAAATGGCGAATTTCAAGGAAAAGGGATGGGTTAAGAGAACAACCCAGGAATGGTGAGTGTTGCATGCAACACATGTGGCATGGTGAGTACGGCATATCATGGCGGCATATCATGGCGGCATATCATGGGGAAAATAAGGAGATTACTTGGAAGGAGACAGAGTGAATCTGCTCCAGCAGTCGCAGGCTCATCCCCTCCACGTCACCAACAGACACCCGCCACATCAGCACAGCCGCCAGCAGCTTGCATGCCAGCTGGCAGGATAGAAGGAAGGCGGGGAGACGCGGGAGGTGGGGATGAGGGGGGTGGGTTGAGCTGAGTGAATGAGACGAAACACAGTGACGACGAGTGTGTGGATGGGAGGGAAGACAACATCTAGAGTGTGTGTGGATCAGCAGCACCAGCAGCGCGAACCGCCACTCCCTTGCAATCACCAGCTCAGCTGCTGCTACTGCTGCTGTTCCGGATTCACTTGGTGAGTACACAGCAACTGCTGCTGCAAAACCAAACCGTATTGGCGAGTACACTCCGCCCGCCAATAGGGTTTGGTCTTGCAGCAGCAGTTGCTGTGTACTCACCAGCACCAGCAGCAGCAGCTGAGCTGGTGATGGTAGGGGAGTGGCGGCTGGCGCTGCTGGTGCTGCAGTTGGATATGGGTGTGGGTATAGGCTTACTCACCTGTCCGCTGCTCCAAGCCTGCCACATGTCGCCCCACAGCCGCCCCCCTCCCTCCACCACCCCCACCAGTTCCCGCACCAACCCCACTCCCTCCTCCCCCTTTCTCCCTCCTCCCCTCGCCTCTAGCAGCAGCATCCGCGCCCCTGCTGCTGCTGTTCCTGTTGCTCCTCCAGCTGGGTATCTTCCAGGAAGCTTCTTCTCCAGGAACAGGTCAAGAGAGACGAGGCGCAGGGCGGCGGCGTGACAGCGCCAGTGCCATCCAGCTCGCGCCAGCTCAGCAGGGGCGTATTCCACGTCAGCGGACGACGAGGAGGTGTCGATGGGAAGAGAGAGTGAGGAGAGCGAGGGGGCGGAGGAGAGTGCGGAGGAGGATGAGGGGAGGGATGGGGGAGAGTGGAGGATGGAGGAGAGGGAGGACCAGAGGGAGGGGTTGGAGCGGAGGTGGAGGAGGAGAGGGAGGAGGGGAGGGGAGGAGGAGCGCCAGATGGAGCAGAGGAGGCGCAGGAGCAGACAGAGCTGCATGGGATGGCTGGAAGGAACAAGGAGGGTTGAGAGAAAAAGGAAGGAACACAAGGAGTTGAAGGGGGGTTCCGAGTCAAAAGCGAGTCAGAGAGGAGGAATGCAGGAGGAGAAAGGGCCCTAGCAGAGGTCGATATTAGAGGACGTAGAGATTCGTAAAATTAGGGAGGTGCCTCGGAAGAATGGGAGCAAAATTGGAGAGAGAAGTTCAGGAGGAGAGGCGAGGTGGGTGGGCGATACGACGGAGAGTAAGAACGGAAATGCACGGGAAGGGGGGAAGAAGGGTAGGCGGAAAGGTTCGGCAAGGATATAGGAGAAAAGAAATGAGAGGGTAGGTTAGGGGAGGGTAAGACTCACGTGGTCATGAAGGAAGGTCCTGCAGACAGCAGAGAGAGGATTCTGTCCATGTTGGCGGTGCCCCTCTTTGCTATATCCCCCTTCCTTATGCTGCTGCCTGCTCCCCCTGCTCCTGCTCCTGCTCCTGCTCCTGCCCCACCCACTGCTGCTGTTGCTCCTGGTTTGTCGGTGCTGGTATTGTTGTTGCTGGTGTTGGTGGTGGTGGCGGTGGTGGAACTGTTGCTTGCTAGGGAGGGATGCTCGGCCAAAAGGAGCTGATGGAGAAACTCAGGCTGCAGAGGGGAGGGGTGTGGGGAAGAGGGGGAGCGGTCCGGAAAGGTTGAGAATGGTGCAATGGCGGAAACTCGTGCTGCTTGGTGAAACAAGGGAGGTTCGGCAATAAGGAGCCGGTGGAGAAACGCAGGCTGCAGAGGGGAGGGGTGTGTGGGGATGGGGGTGGGGGAGATGGGCTGAGAGAGGTTGAGAACGGTGACAATGGGAAAAACGGGGAAAAAAGGCTCAGACTTGGTGAGGCACTCTTACTTGGGATTGTGCTGCATGCATGAGTTTGAGGCGCCTCAAGAGTCGAAATTTGAGGCGCCTCACAACCTAGAAAGGTGCTTACTTGTGAGTGTGCGGCGTGAGTGAGCAGTTGAAGCAGGGGAACGAAGAGGCCAGATGAGGGAGAGGAGGAGGATGAAGGCGCTGATTTTGACGGTGCTGATGCACTGATGCGGGCTGATTCAACGGCCAGGATGCGATCCGCAGAGATCTGAAGGCTGTGGAGCTGCGTGGGGAGGTAAGGCGGCCCCGGGGGAAAAGGTGGGAGGAGGGGGGTGGGGAGGAGGGCGTGCGGGTGGTGAGGTGTTCTGGGGAGGTAGGGGGGGAGTAGGTGTCTGGTGAGAGGTGGGGCAATGTGAAGCAAAATTCCAGCAGGAATTGACAGGAGAGGATGAGTTGTGCGAAAGATTCAAGCGGAGGAGGAGAGGACACAGCACATAGCTCACACTGGAAGTAAAAGACAGCCACATCAGATCTTGACGTGCAAACTGATAGACCCTGCAGCGGATTGATTCCCAGCACTGGGAGCACCAGCTGAGTCAACGAGTTAGTGCACTGGGAGCACCAGCTGAGTCAACGAGTTAGTGCACTGGGAGCACCAGCTGAGTCAACGAGTTAGTGCACTGGGAGGTCCCCAGCCGAATCATTCTAGGAGCTTACAATGGGTTTGGCGGCAGGTTGGGAGAAGAAGGAGGAGAGAACGAGGAGGTGCGGTCTGATGCGATTGGTGATGGTGCAGAGCATGTGTAGGAAGGTGAGCGAGGCACGACGCAGAGCCTGCAAGAGAAGCACATTTGTGTCACAAAGCCTTTTTGCTCATGTCACTGTCGACCTCAACAGTGACACTAGAACTACCAATACTCAATGCATATGAAAATGCAAAGAAACAGCAAAATCCAGCAAACCTGCAAAATCCGCACACCTGGGACTGTCCAAGGCTAGTGAGTGCAGCAAGCGCGGTCACGAGGGGAACCGAATCAAGCCCCACCACCATCGCTCCTGCTCCCTCTCCACCGCCTCCTGCGGCTGCTCTGACTACAGCAGTGTCTGCTGCAGCTCCTGCGGACTCTAGAGATGGTGCTGACGGGGCGAGCGGCATGATGAGATGCGAGGGGAGGCGAGCGGAGGAGGAGAGTAGAAGCGACTCCAAGGGGGAGAGTGGCTGCAAGAGGGGGGGGACAGAGGGACAGAAGGAGGAAATGAAGGCAACGGGGAAAGAGATTGGAAACACATGCCGATGATGTGAGAAAAACGAAGGAGGTGAGGAGGAGAGATTTTGAGGAGGAGAGATGCCGCAATTGAAGTTGTGGTGTTTGAGATTCCTCAGAACTGCTGTGCTTCTTCGAGTTGGAGAGGACAAAAGAGAAGGAAACCTGTAGAGTGAGGGAGGACAGGATAATGCACAGCGGCAAGGTTGAGGTGGGAGATAAGCGGAGAAGGTGATTGGGACGGTCTCCACTCACAGCATCAGCATCCGCATCAGAATCAGCATCAGCATCAGCATCAGCATCAGAATCAGAATCAGCATCAGAATCAGCATCAGCATCAGCATCAGCATCAGAATCAGCATCAGAATCAGCATCAGAATCAGCATCAGAATCAGCATCAGCATCAGCATCAGCCTCGCTCCACTCACCGCATCAGCAGCGGCGGGGCAGAATGGCTTGAGGCGAATGCAAAGAGTGAGCAGCTCTAGACCCTGGTGAAGCGCCGCCGACTGCTCAGAAGAACCTGACGTGGATTCCAAAGAAGCGTCTCCCCCTTCACAGTCCCCCTCCAAGGCCCCCCCTGAGCCCCTCCCTGGCAGCACGAGCAGCGCCGACTGCAGTGGTGCTAGCAGAGCCGCGGATATGCGTGCATCGGTGAGCAACAGGTGGAGCAGCTTGGCCGCGAGGGCAGAGGCTGAAGAGGAAGAGGAGGGTGCGGCTGGTGGGGCTGGTGAGGAGGAGGAGTAGGGGTTGAATGTCTCACTGCTCATCCCACTGCTGCTACTGCCTCCACCACTGCCGCTGCTGTTGCTCCACATTCCGGAGCCGACTCTGCTCCTCTTATACGCTCCTGCCTCCTGCCACTCCTCCCGCAGCATATGCTCCCCCCTCTCCTCCATATCATCCCTTTCCTCCCGCTCCTCCTCTTCCAAGTCGGCCCCCCCTCCCTGGCTGCTTCCCCCCTCCAGGAGGGAGTGTGTGGAGCGGAGGAGAGAGGAGGCGACCCAAGGGGCGAGAGAGAGAGTGAGGGAGAGCAGGCGCGACAGCTGGAAGGGAGGAGGGATGGGGGGTTGTCAGGGGAGGGGCAAGAAGAAATGGATACGGTTGGAAATGCAGAGGAGAGAGGAGGCGGCCCAAGGGGCGAGAGAGAGAGAGAGGGAGAGGAGGCGAGAAAGCTGGGCGGGGGAAGAACGGAGGGGTGACAGGGGAAAGGGGGGCGCGGAAGAATGAGAAAGGCGTTAAGGCTGGATTTTGCGGATGGGAGGAGGAGGGCTTGAAAGGTGAGCGAGGAGGAGGATATGCAAGATAAGGGTATGACTGTACCGTGCTTGTCAGCCATGAGCCATCGCTCCCTGCCATCCTCCATGCGCCACGGCCACACCCCATAGTTGGGCATCACATCCATCACCGCAAACCCCAGCAGGTCCGGCACGGGCCCTCCTGAGAGATTCCTTACCCAGACTCTCCAGCATCTCCCAGCAACTCACCTTGCCAGCCATGAGCCATCGCTCCCTGCCATCCTCCATGCGCCACGCCCCATAATTCGGCATCACATCCATCACCGCAAACCCCAGCAGGTCCGGCAACGGCCCTCCTGTCACTCCCTGCTGCACCAGCGCTGCCGCCAGGTCGAGAGCTGCCAAGCACATGCAAGGTAAACATGCAAGTTATGAGACCCCAATCCGTGTTAGTCCAGACTCCCCCACGTCCGGCACTGGCCCTCCTGTCACTCCCTGCTGCACCAGCGCAGCCGCCAGGTCGAGAGCTGTAGAGTAGAAGGGAAGGAAGCAAGTTATGAGACCCCAGTCTGGGTTACCTCAGGCATGGCATGGGCCCTCCTGTCACACCCTGCTGCACCAGCGCAGCCGCCAGGTCGAGAGCTGTAGAGTAGAAGGGAAGGAAGCAAGTTATGAGACCCCAGTCTTGGTTACCTCAGGCATGGCATGGGCCCTCCTGTCACTCCCTGCTGCACCAGCGCAGCCGCCAGGTCGAGAGCTGTAGAGTAGAAGGGAAGGAAGCAAGTTATGAGACCCCAGTCTGGGTTACCTCAGGCATGGCATGGGCCCTCCTGTCACTCCCTGCTGCACCAGCGCAGCCGCCAGGTCGAGAGCTGTAGAGTAGAAGGGAAGGAAGCAAGTTATGAGACCCCAGTCTGGGTTACCTCAGGCATGGCATGGGCCCTCCTGTCACTCCCTGCTGCACCAGCGCAGCCGCCAGGTCGAGAGCTGTAGAGTAGAAGGGAAGGAAGCAAGTTATGAGACCCCAGTCTGGGTTACCTCAGGCATGGCATGGGCCCTCCTGTCACACCCTGCTGCACCAGCGCAGCCGCCAGGTCGAGAGCTGTAGAGTAGAAGGGAAGGAAGCAAGTTATGAGACCCCAGTCTGGGTTACCTCAGGCATGGCATGGGCCCTCCTGTCACACCCTGCTGCACCAGCGCTGCCGCCAGGTCCAGAGCTGCCAATGTGGAAAGGTGCAGGGAAGGGTTGAGGAGATTTGAGCTGGTGAGCTGGTGAGCTGATGAGCTGGTGAGCTGGTGAGCTGGTGAGCTGATGAGCTGGTGAGCTGGTGAGCTGGTGAGCTGATGAGCTGGTGAGCTGGTGAGCTGATGAGCTGGTGAGCTGGTGAGCTGGTGAGCTGATGAGCTGGTGAGCTGGTGAGCTGGTGAGCTGGTGAGCTGGTGAGCTGGTGAGCTGATGAGCTGGTGAGCTGGTGAGCTGATGAGCTGGTGAGCTGGTGAGCTGATGAGCTGGTGAGCTGGTGAGCTGCTTCACACACCCTCCTGTCACTCCCTGCTGCCCCAGCGCAGCCGCCAGGTCGAGAGCTGCCAGATTCCATATGGCACGTGGGGAAGGGAAGAAGGCTATAACGGAAGGGGAGAAGAAGGGGAGTTACCTGCAGGCGAGGTGAGAGGTGAGCGATATAAGATGTGAGCAATTGAGATGGGACGGAAGGGTGTAGTGGCTATAACGGAAGGGGAGAGGAAGGGGAGTTACCTGCGAGGGTGAACGGGAAGCTTCCCAGTGGTTGCTCGATCTGGAAGCACAGCAGATGCAGCGGACTCGTGGCAGGCCCTGATTGGCTGGGAGCAGAAGCGGATTGGGTGGACCGGGAGTGGAGCGGGGAAGGAGGGAGAGAACGGAGAGGAATTAATGTGAGGAATGTCGTTGGAAGAGAGGGATGTGGACAGGGAGGGGTGGTGAGGACAGGGAGGGGTGGTGAGGACAGGGAGGGGTGGTGAGGACAGGGAGGGGTGGTGAGGACAGGGAGGAGTGGTGAGGACAGGGAGGGATGTGTTTGGAGGAAAGGGGGGGAGGGGGGAGGGGGGGGGGGGGAATCAGTGGTTTCGTTTAACGGCAGGTAGATAGGCTTATGCACAATTTCGAGGGATACGTACAGTTGAAGGTCGGAGGAAAGGGCTGACGGGGAGAAGATGGAGGAGGAGAGTGCAGCAGCAACCCGCTCAGGGTGGCTGCAGGGAGGGAGGTGAGGTGAGGGGAGGGGGTGGGACATGAGAGGGAGGAGGGGTGGGAAGGTGGGGGGGGAGAACGGAGGGGAGCAGAGAGGGAGGAAATGGCATGGGGAGAGGTGCAGTTCAGAAGCATATTGGGAGTGAGTCGGTAGCATGAGTGGGATGAGAGAGAGACGAATGCAACAAGTGTTGGAATTATAGGCGAGAGCAACAATGAGAGAAGGCAGATAACAATGCGAGGAGTGAGGAGCGAGGGCAGGGAGGAGGGAGGGACGAGAGTCACAAGTATGCAAAAGAGGTAGGGGGGAAGGAGTGGGGGCACTGACAGGAGGGCAAAGGCAGCGAGTATTCGCAGGCAACAGGCAGCAGAGGCCAGTGAAACGGCAGCAGATGGTGATTGAGAGGAGGAAGTGACATTTGTGCTGACTCAAAAGAGGCAGAAGGGAAAGGAGGGAGGGCAGGAGGGAGAAGCACTCACAGGAGGGCGAAGGCAGCGAGTATCCGCAGGCAGCAGGCAGCAGAGGCCAGTGACAGTGCAGCAGATGGTGATTGAGAGGAGGAAGAGGAGGAGGAAGGGGAGGAGGAGGACGAGGAAAACGGGGAGGAGGGGGCGGAGAGGGAAGGAGAGGAGAGTAGCCCGTCCAGTATGGCTGTGATGAGTGCAGTAGGGTCCAATCTGGGGGTTACATGGGGTAGAGGGAGGACAGGGAGGGCGATAAGGGGTGGGAGAGAGGGAGTTTGGCGGAAGAGCGTTTTAGTGGCGCCTCATATGGAGAGCAGGGGAGGAGAGTAAGCCGTCCAGTAGAGCTGTGATGAGTGCAGTAGGGTCTAATCTGGAAGATTAGGGGGAGAATGGGCGGCGAAGGAAAGGAGGTGAGAGGGTGTTGAATCACATAGAGCAGAAAGAAAGGACAACAAAAAGCATAACGAAGGAACCCACACTGCACACACAAGAGTGCATGTGGTAATAGGAGGAGCGTAGGAAAGGAGACGGGAAGAAAAACCAGTCTCCATTTGGGGAGGAACACAGTGCAAAAACAGGCAGACGCTCGGGCTCTGGTTACCACACGTACGTCATGCCACGTGGCAGCAACCCATTGGCCAATGCAGATGTAATGAGGGGAGAGGACTGGAGATGCAGGAGTGCCCCCACGCACGCCTGATAGGCAGGGAAGGGGAGGAGGGAGAGAGGGGAAGAACAGATGGAAGAGTGGGAATGATAGAGCGGGAGTGAGGGGGGGGAGGGACATCTACAGAGAAAAGAGGGGCGAAGAGTGGAAATGCAGGAGTGTGGGTGGCATGGGGGAGGAAATGCAGGCTCGGCATGGGTGTGGCTCGGCATGGTGTGGCTCGGCATGGGTGTGGCTCGGCATGGGCGTGGCTTGGCATGGGTGTGTCTCGGCATGGGTGTGGCTCGGCATGGGTGTGGTGTAGCTTGGCATTGGCATGGCTTGGCATGGGTGTGGCTTGGCATGGGTGTGGCTGTGGCTCGGATGATTGTGGCTTACTCAAACCTGTGACTGACAGGTCAGGGAAAGAGACTCACCTAATTTGCTGACGGCAGGCGAGAAAGGAGTGACAGCCTCACACTGAGAGCTCCTTGGCTGCTTCTTCCCCTTCCCCCACCTCTGTTATTGACGTGTCTCACCTGATTGGACGCCAGAAGGTTGGAGAGGAGGGATAGCCCCACTGAGAGCTCCTCAGTTGCTTCCTCTTCTCCTCCCAGCCCCGCAGTGCTAGCGCTGATGTCAAATTCTCCACCAATGGCGGACTGCCACGTGGCAGCAGCAGGGGACGCGTCCTGTTCCTGCTGTGCGCGATGCACGAGGCGGAAGAGCAGGATGAGCAGAGCGCTGAGGGGGACCTGGTGGGGGGAGGGGGGGAACATGCAGGAGGAGGAGGAGGAGGAGGAGGAGGAGGAGGAGGAGGAGGAGGAGGAGGAGGAGGAGGAGGAGGAGGAGGAGGAGGAGGAGGAGGAGGAGGAGGAGGAGGAGGAAGGAGCTGTGTTGCTCGGTGCACGAGGCAGGGGAGCAAGATGAGGAGCCACTTTTGAGAATTCTCAAAAGGCACACCTGGCGGGTGGAGAGAAATTGCAAGGGAAGGAGATGCGGGGTTGTGCTCTAAGTGGGGTGATAGATCAAACGAACGATCCTTACAAGATGCCCTGCTTCCCTCGCTCCTCTTCCCCCCTGCCTCTCTCCCTCCATCCCCACCACCTCTCCCTTACTCCATTCCTCACTTTCAAAAGGCACAAGTGCAAGTCAATCCGTCCCACCACCCCCACCCCCAAGCTGGTACCAACAGCCCCCTTCCCCCCCTGCAGCAAAGGTAGCAGGCTCAAGTTCTCAGTGCACCAGTGATGCTCCATTTTTTCCCCCTCCCCCCTCCACCACCTCCCCCCGCGCCCCAGCAGCAGCAGCAGCAACAGCAGCAACCCTTTCCCCTTTGCCTCTACCGCTACTCACCCAGTTCCTCACCTCGAAATGAACAAGTGCGAGTCCATCCCTCCCTCCTCCCCCTTCCACCACCTCCCCCCGTGCCCCAGTCGGCACCACCAGTCCCCCGCAGAATGGCAGCAGCAGGGGCTGGGGCGCGGAGAGGGCGGAGAGGGAGACACAGGCGGGTGGCAGGGGGAGGAATAATGCCGCCCCCATAGTGCTCTTGAGGAACTCAAAGCTGCGATGCAGGGGGGAGGGGGAGGGGGGGGAGGGGTGGGGGGAAGGCGGGAAGGGGGGAAGGGGGCAAGGGGGGAGGGAGAGTGAACAGATAGATGGAGAGTGAGGGAGGTTTCTTAAGGCACCTCAAAAAGCATGTCAGGAACCGTGGGAGAGGGCGGAAACGGCAGAGAGGAGAACAAGGCAGGCAGGACAGCAACTCACGTGCAGCGGGCAGGCCAGGCACCATGGGAGAGAGCAGAGAGGAGGCGCAGGAAGGGGAGGGGGCGGGCGGGGATTCATGTGTGGCGAGAAGAAGAGAGCAAATGAGAAACAGCGAGCATGACTCATGTGCAGCGGGCGGGCCAGGCGCCATGGGAGAGGGCGGAGAGGGCGGAGAGGAGGAGAGATGGAAGAGAGGAAAGCAGCTCACGTGCAGCGAGCAGGCCAGGCACCGTGGGAGAGGGCGGAGAGGAGGCGCAGGAAGGGGAGGGGACGGGCGGGGAAGTCCCGTGTGTAGTGAGCAGAAGAGCGCAGTGAGAGACAAGGAAGTATAGCAACTCACGTGCAGCGAGCAGGCCAGGAGCCATGGGAGAGAGCAGAGAGGAGGCGCAGGAAGGGGAGGGGGCGGGCTGGGAAGTCTCGTCTGGTGGCGGCTAGGAGCGAACGCAGAGGGGCATCAGATGGGGAGGCAGAGGCGTCCCAGAAGTCAGTGCATAGCGACTCCTGCATGAGGTGAAAGGGGGTTTATGTGCAAGAGAGTGATGAGGGGAAAGTCCCGTCTGGTGGCGGCTAGGAGCGAGCGCAGAGGGGCGTCTGAGGGAGATGCTGATGCGTCCCAGAAGTCAGTGCACAGCGACTCCTGTGGGAAAGGTCGGTGAAAAAAGAAGATATTGTGAGTTACGAATGTGATACATCGGTAGCAGAGAGAAACGACCAGAAGAGCTCACAGAGAGCTGGGCGGCAGACAGGTGGAGAGGTGTGTGGTGCGGTGACAAGGCAATTCACAGCGGTGAGACGGTTTTGAGACAGGTGGTTACATGCCATGTGGTGCATCTGGTGCCATGTGGTGCTGTGCGGTACAACACAGTGACAAGGCACTGACCTGATCTGAAAAGGTGCGGCAGATAATTTCCAGAAGGAGGGCATACAGCCGAGTGCCCTTCTGAAAAGGGGAGAAAAAAGGAGAAATGGCATTAACAGTTTGCACGGAAAACACGGGCGGAGGAGGGGGAGTCTAGACATCTTTAAAGCAACTACTATATATTATGTTATGAATGCTACGAACCTGGTTGGAAATGTCAAAGGCAGTGAGGTAGGCTGTGCAAAGCCCTTTGACACATCTCTTCACCACCCCCTGCATCACCTGCACTCACAGACCACCAGACATGCAAAGGAGAAGGCGCGGAGGGGGGGGGTTGGGAAGGACGAGGGAGGGATGAAAATCTGATCCACTCATGAACGGCAGCAGCAGGGGAAGGGATATCAGCAGGTGAAACGGGAGGAGAAACTGCAAGGGAAGGAGGGCAAAGGATTGAGGCGACTAGACGCAAGGTGCTTACCAAAGAGGCGCTTCTAATGGCAGATGTGACTCACAGGGTCGTTGGACGGGTGAGAGGGGAGGGACGAGGAGAGCAGAGAGGAGAGAATCCAGTCCAGCGCGCCTGCTGCATAGGCTGCTTGCACACACACTCCCGGGTTCAAGGTGGGAGGCTGCAGTAGTGCGGAGAATGGAAAGGAGGAGAAGAGGGGAGAAGTGGGAGGGCAAGCGGACGGGTGGGTTCAAGGTGAGTGGGTGTAGTGAGAAGGATGGGGGAGGAGAGCAGAGAGGAGAGAATCCAATCCAACGCGCCTGCTGCATAGGCTGCTTGCACACACACTCCCGGGTTCAGCGCGGTTGCCTGTATGCAGAGGTGTGGAGACGGTACGAGAGGAAGAATGACAGGTGCAAATTGGAAGCACTGCGGCATTCGTTTCTAGCACTCTGAAAAATGAAATCAATCCAGTGACAGCAGGGAGAGGAGGGGGCCTTATGCAAGGTTGTGACGATACATGGAACAAACGGGCACTTGTTTGTGACGAGAGCTCCCTCCCTCCCATGTGACACCGTACCGGCAGCTGGGAAGAGTCGGGCAGCCACTGCAGCAACATGCGGATGAGACCCCATGCAAGCAGCACAGGAGAAACGTCTGACCCTGCACCGGCACCACTGCCAGTCCCCACCAGCGGCACCAATGCACCCAACCCAATGAGTCTTCCTCCCCCTCCTGCTCCATACACCTCCTCCATCCCCTCCTCTGCCATCCCCACTGCATCATCAAACTCCTCGCTTTGGCCTCTACCACCCGCCCCTCCCTTGGCAGTAGCAGCAGCGGCAGAGAGAAGGCAGGAGAGCCACGCAGAGAGGCGCTGATCCACTTGTGAGAGGTCGGAGGGGGATGACAGGGGGTGTTGGGAGGAGCTGTAGGTGGGAGTGGGCCAGGAGTAGGGGGGAAGGGGAGAAGAGCACATGAGATAACCAAGGTAAGTTACCCAGCCTTCCCTTGGCAGCAGCGGCAGCGGCAGAGAGCAGGCAGGAGAGCCACGCAGAGAGGCGCTGATCCACTTGAGAGAGGTCGGAGGGGGATGAGAGGGGGTGTTGGGAAGCGCTGTGAGTGGGGTGGGAGGCGAGCACATGAGAGAACATGTATAAGTTACCCTCCGCTCCGTTGGTAGGAGCAGCAGCAGCGGCAGAGAGCAGGCAAGAGAGCCACGCAGAGGGGCGCTGATCCACTTGTGAGAGGTCGGAGGGGGATGACAGAGGGTGCTGCGAGGCGCTGTAGGTAGGTGGGAGAGGAACCACAAGAACCCACATGTGAGGGAGCAGACAGTAACGGTTTTGCGGGACGCTGTGCGGGAGGTTGTGAGGGAGGTCGAGGGAGGTTGTGAGGGAAATTGTGAGGGAAATTGTGAGGGAAATTGTGAGGGAAATTGTGAGCAGAAATACCAAACTCACAGGGTCGAACGGAACCCAGCCACAGCAAGTCAAGTCAAGCCACTCTGACTAACAGTCGGGCTACACTAAAACACAACGCACCTGAAATTCGTCCCCTTCGCCAAAGCCACAACCACCCCTTCCACGTCCACAGCTGCAATCAGCAGGAGCACGGCGCGGTGCAGTGCGGTGGAGAGGAGTGACTCGGCCGCGGAGCTGATGGCTAGAGAGGCGAGAGATACTGAGGGGGAGGAGGACGAGGAGGAGGAGGAGGAGGAGGAGGAGGGGTGGCGTATGGAGAGGAGGAGGGGGGCGGTGGTGATGGAGTGAAGCCAAAGAAAAGCTCCTGGTAAGAAGGGATCAGAAACGGTCAGCAGAGGTCAGGTGAGAGGTGTGGAGGAAAAGGAAACGGAAATCCTTAAAGATCTGTGTAGTTAACAGGAGGAGGAAAGAGAGGGGGAGGCAGGAAAAGGGGAGAAGTGCATTATTCAGCTGAGAAGATGGGAGAGAGGGGGGAGCAAAGTGAAAGAGGGTGTGCTGAACGAATCAGAATGGATGGTGAAGCTGAGATAGCAAGAAAAAACATGAATGGCGCACCTGAACGAGTGTGACTATATCGAGGATGGCAGCAGCGCGGCAGCCATTGCGGGAAGCGATGAGGATGAGGATGAGGATGTCTAGTAGCAAGCAGGCTTCTAACGAGGATGCTTCTGCCCATCCTGCCATCCCTGCACGATCCTGAAGAAAGAAAAGAACGCAATGAGCACGCCACGCCAAAGGATAAGAATTCAAGATGCTAAGCTGAAAGGCAATTGGAGCCTCAACATTTTGGTAGGCCTTGCAAACAACGAACATTGTTTGCGGTCCTGGAGATTAATAGCATGTCTTTTATGAGAGTTCACACATGTGACCTGTGATTACCTCATTGCATGCGATGCGATGTGATACGGTGCAGCTTACCCTGGCATGTCAGCATATCAGGATTCAGCAGTACGTACCAGAGCCTTGGGGGGTTGGGATCGCGGGAGCGACCTCAGCTGAGCGATAACGTTTGACAGCAGCCCCTCCTTCAGCAGCGCGCTCACCTCCCCCTCCACGGCACCTGCATACGGGGAGGGGGTGTCAGCTGGGGATATGGGAGGAGAGATCAAGGGAGGGGAGGAATAGAGTAGGTGTGATAGCAGCCCCCCTTCCTTCAGCAGCGCGCTCACCTCCCCCTCCACGGCAGCTGCATACGGGGAGGAGGCGTCAGCTGGGAACAGGGGAGGAGCGGTACAGGAGGGGAGGAATACGGGGGGGGGGGGGGGGGGGGGGGGGGGAGGGGGGCGAGGGGAATTCAGAGGCAGGGTAGTGGTATCGTGCGACAGCAAATGTTGAGTCGGTTTTTAAAGATTGAGTTGCCTCAAACAGGAGACGACTCAGTGGAAAGTTCCATCAATGAGTCTGTCACGAAGGTAACGCCATGCTATCATGATGGTAGTATCATACAGCGGTGAAGGCCACAAAAGTCGCGAACCTTGCATGGCCAGCAGCAGCCGCAGGCATTTGAGCAGGCTCTGCCTCTCCTCCTGATACAGCGCCACGACCTGCATGCACACAGTGCATGTGGAGGGAGGTAAGTAGGGAGGCTGATGTAGAAAGGAGTTTCATGCCAGCTTGAGTCGACTCAATGGCATGTGGTGCGTGTGTAGTCCGAAGCACCACACAAGCGTCCATCACAAAAACATACCTCTTGCACCAATCTCCGCTGCTCTTCCTTCTCCTCCAACCCCCCTTTTTTCTCTCCGCCTGCTCCCTTCCCCGTACCCTCACCTTCCGCTTCCCCCACCAGCGCCCTCTCTCCTCCGCCCACCCTATCCGCCAGAAAATACGCCTGCGTCTCATCCAAGCCCTGCTCACATACACACACAGAGTAAAACACCGTGCGTTCATTCAATCCGGAAGAACAGCGGGGTGGTCGCTTGCGCGCTCGCAAATACACGAAGGGAATACAGCGCTTGTAGCCTCCACAGCCACTCCACGAAGGAATTGCTATGCCACTGCTAAGCAACCCTCTATTTGCCCCACGGCTTGGTTCCTTCCATCCCTACTTAAAATCACAGCACTTGCAATCACAGCGCTTGCAGTCACAGCCGCTTCTCTTAGACTACCCAAACGGGAATGGGATAGTCACGCACTATAACCCACTATCCACCCTTACGACCCTTTTCCTTCCCATTCCCACTTACCAGCACAGCGCTTGCAGTCACAGCCGCTTCCCTTAGCCGTCCAACCACTGGGATCGTCACTTGCGAGGCGCCTGCTGGTCCCCCCACCCCCACTTCCAGACGAGCCGCGCCAATGGCGTCGCGGGATCGGCTGCTAGGAGGCTTGAAGCGCGCCAAACCGTGCAGCAGCCACGTGTGGTGCTCTGATAGGATTTTGGCCTGCACGAGACGGATCAGGGGGAAGGGAGGGATGCAGTACAGGTGTTACGAGAATTAATTGTATGGACGTGATTCTGAGCTATAAACCTGCGTCATGGCTGGTCTCGTGAAAACCAGGACACTGAATCTGAAACTGAACCGTCACAGTCAAGGTCTCTGGGCTAAGAGAACTTGAGTGAGGGCTCTAAGAGTGTGTAACGACCCTAGTGTGAGCCTGTGCAAGAGTGCAAGAGCGAGTAAAAGCCATGTGCAAGAGTGAGCCTAACGCGATAACGTAAGAAGCAAACAGGGTAGTCATACTCCGTCAAGCCTGCCTGCGACGCACGTTGAACGCGACCTGCGACGAATCCCGCTTGTTACAGACGATGTTACACACTCTCGTATTCTCCTGACACGTACCAGCTCGCGACCATCTTCTGCCTCGACATTGTCACTTCCTCTACAGTCAATCGCCTCGAGTCGCGCCAGCAAGGCACCGTGTGGGGACCACCAGAGATCCGCGTCGACTTTCGACGACGACGCTCTGTTGATCGCCGCTGCCACGCTGGCCATGACACGTGTCGAGCTACGACCAGGCGATGTGCCGCGATCGCGAGGCGCGCGAACGAACTAACGAGTCGGACTTTTCAGTGTCGCAATACCTTTCCCTAGGTAAAGTAGCACTCTAACCGGACTGGTGGTGCGAATCGAGCTAGGTCGGAGGAAAAACCACGCGAGAAGATCCTGTGAGGAGAGCGAGTGGCAGATTTTATTCTGGAATCAGCGAGGTCGAGCGTTCCGATGACCCTGCTAGCAGGATCAATGGCTTCGCAGAAAGCGCGACGGCAAGTTAGTTTCCCTCATTCGCGACGGCAATTCCTGCTGAGCTCGTGCGAGAATCACAGTAAGCCAGGATCACTGATAATTCACACAACTAGCTCAAAACCGCACCCAACCATTTAAGTTCAAAGAAGCCGTTCTTTTTTACATATTTATCGAATTCAACCGCAATTCTGTGATGCGTTCCAATTGCAGAATGGAGCATAAGGTCCAGCGCGGAAGGAGCAACCATAGCCCCAAGGCTCGCTGCTTGAGATCGAAAATCCCGCTAGTGTCAGATGTCAGAGACTTCAGTACAGTGCACCATTATTTACAGATAGCTGCTAAGAAACTTGATCGGATATTCCGTGCGACCCTTCACAACATTATAGTCATACTCGATACATATTCCCGTATACGAACTATCCTCACCTCAACATTCTGCTCCGGAACCGATTCCCACCACGCATCATATTCTCGCAACTGTCCCTCCCATGTGCCCAGAACTTCCGCCCAACCTCTCCAGTTTCCTCAACCTCCTGTACTCCCCACCCCATCGCCTTCCCCCTTCGTGGGAATATTTTCCGCTACCTTTCCCCGCCCCTTCTCTCCCCCGCATCCCGGCCATATTTCTCCTTCATGTTTCCCCATGCGCTCCCCGCGCACGCCCGTCGTCCCCTCCCCTTCAAATCCCCTCTCGCTTTTCCTCTCACCTCTTTCTCCCTCGCCTCTTCTCACTACGCCCTAGAACCTTACCTCACCCACGCGGGTGTAGGAGCCTCTTGACACGTCAGCGGCAGCCATCGTCGGCGTAGCACGCACGAAACCCTAGCACCATGGGCGAGCGCTTCACATACCGCCGCAGGCACCCCTATGCCACGCGCTCGAACCTCCGCCGCACCATCCGCACCCCAGGCACGATACTTTTCTCGTCTTTTTTCGGAAACCCTAATTAAGTCCCGCTGTAGGTCGTCACTCGGACGCCAGTCTTGTATCGCAGAATCTCGTTATTCGCAACTTGCTGACTCGTTATAACGGCACGCTGATTACAAAAGACTCGTGATTTTGCTTTCTGGCCGACTACGCTTTCCCGCCGTCCGATCGTGGATCGTATTTAACGTTGCGTCCGGCATGTAGATAGGTTGACGCGTGAAGCGAACATTGCACCATGAATATCCCCCGCTTATCCCCTGATCAATGAATCTTGAGACGCCTAAAGAGTTGTTAATTTGCATCTTCCGATTGTCCCCTGCTCAACCCGTGTGTCGCGCCCATGTTACTTCCGCCCACCCTTGTTCCCCCCATCGCGCTCTATTGTTGCGCCGAGAGCAGGAGGCAAGCTCACTGTTCAGTACATCGCCAAGAGAGCCAATGGCGTGAAGTGCGGCAAGTGCCCGCGCATCCTTCCTGGTGTAAGTCCCGCTACGATTACAGCCTCGCCACTTTCATCCTGTTTTTATTTATTCCGAACCGACAATGTGGTTCCGTTCATGGTAGAGCTTTGTTGTGATCCCGTTAATCCCCGTGAGCTGGCGTGAGAGGCATGGGCTGGGGGAGGCCGGCGCAAATTGCAGGCGGTTGTTGCGCTCATTCCTTAGAGTTCCGTCTCTCTTCCCGCGCCTTTTCGCGCGCCAACCGTTCGCTTCCTCCCATGCGCGCAGGTCCCCGCGCTCCCCGCGCACAAGCTCACGCGCAACCTGATGTCGCGCAAGAAGAAGAGCGTCACGCGCATCTACGGCGGCGCCATCTGCGGGAAATGCGTGCGCGAGAGGTGAGCCGCGGAGAGCAAGGTGGGGAAGAGGGAGGGAAGTGGGGAATTGGGGGAAAAGAGGGGAGGGGAAGGAGGGAAATGGAGGGGGTCATACGGGGTAAGACGGATGGGGATAGGCGCGGGGTGCGAGAAATGATGCTGGTGAAAGAGGCGCAGAATGCGAGCGGATGGCGGAATGCAGAAGGATGCAGAAGGGGAGGGGAGCGAAAAGGCGGCGAAGCGGAAAGGAAGGGATTAGAAAGGAGAAAATCGGAAAGTTGGCTGAAGCAAGGCAGATGGAAAGGGGGGGGAAGGAGGGAGGAGGGAGGAGGGGAGGAACCAAGAGATGGTTGTACGCGGAAGCTGATGCAAGTCGCAAATCAACCGCTATAGCACTCATGCCGGATCTACTCATTAACCTTTCCCTGTCAACTTCCTGCCCCATTTCCCTTTTCCCGTTTCCCCATCCCCCATCACCCCCCCTCCAGTGCCCTACTCCACCGTTTCCCGCTCTTCCCGTTTCCCGCTTATTCTCCTCTTGCCATCTCTGCCCTTGTGATTCTTTTTGCAAGACAAGTTGAGAACCTTAGGTAGGAGCAAGAGTGACTTCTGACTCCACTCAAATGTCACCTCCCTCCCCCCGCCTTGCGGTGCTTTTCTCCCTCCCTCCCTCTTCCTCAAATGTCACTTCCACAGAATCATCCGCGCATTCCTGGTGGAGGAGAGGAAGATCGTGAAGAAGGTGCTCAAGCTGCAGAAGTAACTTCTGACTGTACTCAAATGTCAACCCTGCTCCCCCCCCTTCCCTCTTTTCTGCTCTGCTCTGCACTGCCGCCAACAGAATCATCCGTGCATTCCTGGTGGAGGAGCAGAAGATCGTGAAGGTGCTCAAGCTGAGTCACGCTCGAACACTAACCTCTCCTTTCTTTCTTTCCGTTGTTCCTCCGCCCATCACCACAGAATCATCCGCGCATTCCTGGTGGAGGAGCAGAAGATCGTGAAGAAGGTGCTCAAGCTGCAGAAGTCCAAGGAGAAGATTGCATCCAAGGTCCCCGCTTAAACCGCTCAGCTGAGATGAATGAAACTGCTCACACCGCCGAAACCACCTGAACTGCCTACTTTCCGAACTGCCTGAACGGGTTTGAAGTGCCTGAGCTGCCTGGATTTCCATCACATGGTTAAGCTCCTGCAACAGGCGCGTAGAGACAGAGTGGGTGCTACAGGGATTGCTAGGCAGGAATTTTGGTTTTGATGGTGCGCTAATGTCCATCGTCCATTGGATGTATGGTTAGTAAGCAAGTATGGTTTACTCCACTACGGTAGTCCCCTTCTTCAGCTGTTGGCTTTTGCTTAGTAGTGTTGACTTGAACACCACCTACCTTGCTTCCTGCCTACAGGTCACAACCAGACCAGGTGATGGAAGAAAATTCGTGATAGTGGAACAGCAAGCATTGCTGGACTAGTAGATAGCAGCTGCTGCACGCTCACTGCACTGCTTAGAATAACAATTACCAAAACTGCTCTGGATTTTTTTTCCCCATTGAATTGGCTCCATCAAGTTGAAACAAGAAAACCAAATTTTTAATAAGAATAATAGAGTCTCATAAACAAGATCTAAACTCCACATACGATTTCTACATATCAACTTCAGAAACTTCTAGAGCTTCAAGTGGATCTTGGACCTTGGTCTTCGGTCTTCGCATGGACCCCTCTTGGCCGCTAGAGGACAAGCCTCTAGCGTTCACCCTAACTGTCAAAATGCTAGGCCAAAACGAGAAACAGGCAAGAAGGGTTTTGACTAACAAGCATAGGGATACATATATGCAAACCCTAGAAGGGCTGTACTCGCTATAGAGTACCCCACTGCAGGCTAGACAACCATCACATTCTGACACACCCCCATAGTCAAAGTGGGGTACAATCAACATAACAAGCAGACAGAGCAATAGTTCACAATTATAAGCAAAGCTAGAGGCTATCACAGAGGGCAAGTGAGGAGGAGGAGAAACTGTGGGAGCAAGAAGATGAGAGGCGACGGCTGAAGCTGCAGACACACAGGCAGCAGGAGTACGCCGCACTGACGCTACCAGGCTAAACCCGGACTACACGGCGACAGGGGGTCGCAGCTGGCTCGCTGTGCTCCCAGGAGTGCACACACTGTAGCTACCGGGCGCAGAGCCCCGGACTACTCAGGCCACAGGGGGTCGTGGCTCCCTGGACTTCAGGCGCTGCGGACGACAAGTCGACGGCCTCCTCTCAACTTCCCCCAGCTGTCCCACCCCCTTTTTACACACCCCCTGCTGTTCCCCTAGCACCGCTCACACTACACCCCCTAGCGCCACTCCCTCGGCTCCCACACACCCACCCCCCTCAGCGGCAGCTGCAGCAGTGGGAGACGGAGAAGGAGGAGGAGGAGGGGAACGGCACTCAGTGGCTTCACCCCCATACCCCTCACCCCCAAACCCTAATTCAGGAGAACGGGCTGTAGGAGGGGTGGGGCGCCAGTAGAAGCACGGGGGACAGTGGGGAGGGCAGGGGCAGCGAGGAACGGGCCGCCCACGGGCCTGGCATAGCCGCCCGAACCGCGCGCAGGCGGCCCGAGCCGCGCGCGGGCCTGGCGCTTCCCGTACGGGCCGCGCGCGGGCCTGGCGCAGCCTGTACGGGCCGCGCGCGGGCCTGGCGCAGCCCGTACGGGCCGCGCGCCGGCTGTACGGGCCGCGCGCAGGCCACGACGGGCGACGGGGGGCGACGCGCGGGTCCCCGTCGCCCGTCGCAGCGCCTCCCGGGGGCGACGCGCCGAGTGACGGGGCAGAAAACCGCCGCGCGCCCCGGGCGCGCGGCGGGAAGAAAAAACCGCTGCGCGCCCGGAGCGCGCGGCAGGCAGGAAACAGCAGGAAACAACAGCGGAAGCTTCTGGTGGGACCACCCACAGGATCGACCCAGGAGGGTCGACCCGCTCTGATAGCATGTCAAAACAGGCTAGGCGAAAACGAGAAATAGGCAAAGAGGGGTTTTGACTAACAAGCATAGGGATACATATATGCAAACCCTAGAAGGGCTGTACTCGCTATAGAGTACCCCACTGCAGGCTAGACAACCATCACATTCTGACACTAACACCACGATGAGGTGGAGGTCCTTCGTTAGGGAACCTGCAAGAAAAAACACTGGAACAAAGAGGACGGACGGTTAGGATTAAAGTAAATGCCAGCGGGCAGGGAACACCTTTGAGCCTGAAGTAGCTTCTGTGTTGTCAGGTTGTCAGGTTGCCGTGAGCCACAAAAAGTGGCGGGAGAAAAGAGGAGGAGGAAACCCCACCCATCCCGTCGCGTCGCGTCCCCATCGCCTACCCACCCAGCCCACACCAGTCGCGTCGCGTCCCCATCGTACCCACCCAGCCCACACCGCCCTCGTCTGTCCAGTCCGTGGCTGATCTAACGCTCCTACGATCTGATCTAACGCTCCTAAACGTCCCACCGGTTACCATGTGCTGCTGTTGCAGTCGTTGCTCCACCCTCTGAGAGAGGGAAGGAGGACGGGAAGGGGGGAGTAAAGCTCCTCGCTGCTCCTCCATCGCGAAAATGGAAAGCTCGAAAAGCAAATCGAAAGAAACTTTTACTCAACATTCCCGATATTTTTTTCCCGGCACTTTTGAGTCAAGGTTTTAGATCTGCATGGCGACAGTCACTTACAAAGCAACTTTGCGTCCACTTTCCCGCGACATTCTGTACATATGCGTGCATCAAATTAGCCACTGCACCCGCATCTGGGCATTTGCTAAACAGCAGCGAGCTGCGCCACACAAAAGTTTACCTAACCATACCGTGCCAATCGACTAGAAAGCGACGAGTACGCAACTCCAACAGCCACTCCGTACGCGCACACCCACGTGGCACCCTGTTTCAACCCGCATGGCCACGTCAGCGTACATGCACCAAAACGTACCCGCACCCCAACCGTTGGATGAACACTAGGGTCACGCAATCTCAATGGTTCACGTGTCGCCTGCACATTAATTCGCACATCATGTTACGACTTCGCGAACACTAACTCGCACATGCTCGCGCCAACACCGCGAGCGGTTCTGCACCGTACATCTGATGGACGCACATCCAGTACACAGTTGACAGTTGGAAGCAACCCACAGGGGCGCTAACCGCAAATCACACCGGTGATACCCACTAGCATGTTACCACGTGGCCTCACTACACTTGCGCATTCCCCGTCCGCACCCTGCACTACATTGCACAGTCACCGTACACCTGTCGCGTCGCCCCCGTATCGTACACTTCGCCAGCTCGGTCGCCAACCAGTAGTAACGCACGCGCGACTACCTGTCTACGCCATCCGCATCGTCCATATGTGTACATCGTATCCACCACCGTTATGACACGTCACGCATACTTAATCGATCTACCCCGTACACTTGGGCTGCGATCGTGTACTCGCACATACAGTTACCCTAAACCATCTCATCGTGGCTCTCGTTCGCGACGTCTTCGCTAATCAATCACAACCGAACATCAGTCGCACTCTAACCGCATATCACAGTGCGTTCCCCCCGTCAACCTCGACGCGGCGTTCGCTCCGTGAGGTGACACGCGTACTTGAGCGCGTGCCACCATTGTATGCAGTTGGTGGGACATCATATCTTATCCATTGTATCCAATCATATGTCCACGCTTGCGCACCGCGGATGCTTTTACGTCCACACATTACCGTGACACCTGTCACGTCCCGTGAAAGGCGCCGCAAACTGCGGCGCAGTCTGCGCCAACCAAAACACCTGGTTGACGGTCTGCCCGCTGTGTTTCGCAACCGATGGGTATCCTTGTTGTCCTGTCAAATGCGTTTATACCCCAATGAATACTTCTCCCATTAACAACACACACACACACAAGCATCCAACGTTGCCATGCATTTAAATAACCCCACTAGCTTCGCAGCCCACACATGCAACATCCAGTGCCCACGAAAAAGCCTGCTCAAACCCCTGACACTGAACCGATAAGGATGCCTTTCACGACACCAGCCACCTGTCCCACCAACGGTGCAAGCCTCAATGTTGAACGCCCCCACCCGTCCGTCGGCCTACTCATCACCAACTGACGCCGAGAGGTCGTCGTCCCCCTCAGGCTCTTCGAACTGAGCTGCGGCGGTGGGCTTCATGTGCTCCAGGCCGCACGCAGAGATGCGCAGTCCATGGCGCCCCCAGATCCACGCCTCTCGCTCCGCGTCATACTCCGGGTTGCGGATCCTGATCGCCCTCTCCACGGCCTCCTTCACCAGGACCTTGAGGCCGTCCACGACGTGTGCGTTGCCGCCGGCCGAGTTGGAAAGCCGGCCTTTCCTCTCCTCCCAGTAGAGGACGCAGTCGGAGACCTGCGCATCCACCACCCAGCGTGTCACCCAAATGGTGCGACGGTACAACGCGAAAACATGGCTCGCATAGAGCGCACAGACTCACCACATGCTCCAACCAGGCCAGGTGGTACACCTTCAGTGTCATCACCAGCCCGGCCTTCTTGGGCCTGAATGCAGCCTTCGCACATGTCGCGAACGCCCGGGAGGCAAACGGCATGCCATCACGGTCGTTCGCCCAGCTCGTGAGCACCAGGGTTTCTGCACACCACATGCGCACTGTCAGTGTCAGCGGCCGCCAACCGCGAGGTGGTCAGCATAACCATACGTAGGTAACCCTGTCTGCTGTGGTAGAATGCACTCACCAGGGGGGTCAGCGCCAAGACCAATGCGCTCCCTGATCTTATCGATACTGCGTGCCTTCTCGGGCGCCCATGGGCTGGATGCGTCCCTGTCGTCGCGGAACAATCCGAGCTTGGGAAGTGCAATGTCTCGCACGCGTGCGGCAGCCCTTGTCTTCCACTCAGAGAGCGTCTTGTTGAGATCCGCGCGACGCGACTTGTCAACCGCCAGCGCCAAACAGGCGAAGCTATGCGGCAGGCGGTCCAGCACCGCACACACTCCGTGAGTCTTATCGTCGCTGCTCGGGTAGAAGGTCATCGTCGACGTCGGCCTGTTGATAAACATGTGCACCCTGGCCAGCTCGCAAACCCTCTGCGCACATACGGTGTACACAAAACATGATATAAGTGCAACCCGGTAACCATCACCTGACCCACAAGGCAGCCCAACACGACGAACGGAAAAAGGCCCCCAACGGTAACATGCCAGCTCACCTTCCACGCCTTGTCCGTCGGCAAATGCTCCAAAGCGCGTTGCAGAATAGGAGACTTGGCGGTACGCATATGACGGCCACCAGAACCATGCGTGTCGTCATCGTCATCCTCGCCGTCGCCGTCGGACCCGCCACTCCACGTCTCACCACGCTGTCGCTTCGGGTTCATACAACCCTGCCCCGGGTCTCTCTGCTTCTGAGCCTTACGCTTACGAGAGCCACCGGAAGGGCGAGACATCGCATTCAAGAACAGCGCCTCCAAACGCGCGTTCTCCTTGGCGCTCTTGTCCTGCGCCTGTATGAGTTGCTCGAGGATCCGGCTAGGGATGCGCACGTCATCGCCGTTGGCGTCCAAGGTGTTCACGCGTGTGCGGCCAACAAGTCCGTCCGCCTGTCCGTCCGCTTCATGTGTGCGCATGTCAGCATTGGCCCGCGGATATTCCCGCACATCCATCGTCGTGCGTCTTGCCTCTAGCGCCCTGGTCGGCGGATTCCTCGTGTGATCCTGGCGCAGATGTGTCTTCGTTTTCCTCGTCCTCTTCCTCGCTTCGATCGGACGAATCGGCACTCTCTGCACCCGTGCCGTCATCTGTGGGTGAGAGAAACACCAGGGAAGCACAACACCACGAGTTAGAACATCGCACGCAGCAAACTTCGGGACTCATCCACACAATCTATTTCTGCATACCTTACTCTGAATGTGCCACCTCCTTTCCCTTAGTGGACAAGCTCAGGCGCTTGGGAACGGTCGCCCCACGTTTCCCGTTCGACAGCCGACCTCACGGCATCGTCAACTGGTATGACGAACGCAGGTATGCCGGCGGTTGCGAGACACGACGTGAGCGGCCTCCGGCCCTCGTATCCTCTGAAGCAATCGAGGTCTCCATTATAGCAATTGAAGTATCCAGTGAGATGCTTTGATAGTGACGCGCTACCCATTTTTCTGCGTAGAGTTGGGAGCTCAACTTCCAAACACACCTCGACACCGTTTACTCGAGGAGTTTGGTAGCCAGGAATACCTCGTGCACATCTGGACGACCGCAATCCAAAACGTCCAATGAGTGAACAGCACATCATCATATCGGTGACGGGTGTCCACAGCAGAACCATACACTGCGCACCTCGTGGTGACACAACCGTATCCATGTACCTCGTTTGTGCGACCACTGGTATAGACATGCACGTTCCTGTATTCAGTGATTCCATAAACCTTTTCCGACATTCAGCACACCATTTGCGCGATAACGCATCCAGCTAACAAAACAACCCGGGCACACCGTGTAATCACAATCATTAGCATTGATCACACATGCATACAACCACATGAGCACACTATGAAGATCAGCTAGGTGTTCACACAGATGTAAGGAAATACACGCACGGACAAGTATCTCATATGCTTTGACTCCACAACCACTATGCCGCTGTGGCTGCCGTCTTCTCTTGTGCACCACTGTCTCCCTGTCGCTCTTCCTGGTCATTTTCATTTGCACCTCCGCCGTGCCGGTTGCTCAAGGTGGCCGTCCCCCCACACTCTGCATTCTCGGGTGCCGCCGAGTCGTTGTTAGCCGTGTTGTTATTATCCACCACCCTGGGCCTCTTTGATGTACCTGTGTCACCCCCACGCTTCTCCCCCGTTTCAGCCTGCAGCTCACGCTCTCCAGCGCCTCACGCCAGCTTCGCCACCTCCACCACTTCCTGGCTTCCACCAGTATCTGCAAATCTTCTTTTGTGCATCCCCGCAACATCGCCTTCTCAGCTGCTGACAGGGTGACTGTGTTGGGTATCCTGTCGCGTGGCCTCAGGACGAACGCACCAGCGGCGTACGCGAATGCCGCCTCTTCCTCCGTGGTGTATGCTCCCAGGCGCTGCTGCTTACGCTTTCCACGTTCTTTGATCAAGATCTTGACGCCGAACTTGCCAGTCCGTTTGTCCAGCTTCACACCCGTGTACGTGGTTGCACACGTATCCTCGTCCTCGCCATCGTCGTCTGAGTCGGACACAAGATCCTCCTCCTCTTCGCCCTTCAGCGTCTCCTGCCCGTGCGTGTCTCCCCACGCGGCATCTCCAGGTGGCACACCGTTCTCGAGCAGCTGCCTCCCGCGCGTGAACATCCAGTGAGGTATGGCACCTTGGGAGAGCAGCGGGTTAGGGAGCAGGCTCGATGTAGGCTCACATGCAGCGAACGTGGAGGCCAGCGCTACCCGGGTGCCGTTGCGCACGCCGTCCTCCTCAGGACTGCTGTCGGCCCGCGTCTTACGGGCAGACGGACGCTGTGGTGTGCGTGGCGCAGTCTTGTTGCCACCCGCATCTGCATTCGTGCCGGTGCCCGGGTGACCGCCATGCAGCAGCAGTTGGGTTGCAGCGGACACGACCTCGTCCCGCCTCAGTCCCACAAAGTTGGCGATCACGGTGACGGTGGCGTTCAGGTAACCTCACATCGTTAGTCAATGTCGCTACACGCCTCATCACCTCCGTAACCCGTGCGTCCTCCACAGGGCGAGTGACCGGTGCCGGCCTCCCATCTCCCATAGCCGCGTTCTTCACCTGCACCACTGTACCCTCATCGGTAACCCGGCCTGCGTCCTGCGGGGGGATCTCAATTCCCATGTCCTGCAGCTGTTGCAAAAGAGCGCCGCTCGCGTGTGCACACAGGTCGCGCCGCATCTCCCGCCTGTATTGGTGCGGTGTCACACCCTGGAACCAGAGGCCCGAAAGAACCGTGGCGAAGTCGGTATTCACCAGGGTCTTGAGGTACTGGCAAACAAAAATCCCACAGTCCTCCTTGTTAGGCTGCTGTGGCAGCTTGTCCTCCTGCCAACATGGGAATGCACACAACGTTCATTAGTCTGCACACCTGCATATGCGAAACCGCACATTGGTGTCCACAAAAAACGTCGCATACTGACCCGTAAAATTATGCAGTCCGCCTCCTTCAGCGTCTTGTCCACAAACTCCATGTTCGCGCTTGGGTTGCTCGCCTTTGCGAGCTCAGACAGCACACTGAACGCAACAGGTCAACTGGTATTAATATACAGATCAAGCAAGGCTACTGTATACGAACTTATTTAAACCCATACTCACAGCTTTGTTCCTGCAAAAATCTTGCGGCTATTCCGATGCTTGATCGCGCTGTCCATCAAGACCAACGTCATGCGCTCTTTGCCCTTCAATCTCGGCGACTTGGTGAGCACCGATGGATTTATAGCGATGACCAGCGAATAGTGCTCACTGCGCGCAACATGAGCGGAGTTAAACGTGTTAGTGGATAGACAGTACACCATGGCACACAATAGAAACCCTTCGGAAAACACGGGGTGGAACGATACTCACGATTCTAGCACCGGGATCGCCAGATAATCGTGTTCCAGAAGCGGCCGCCCGCTCCCAAGAGTTAACGGCGCACCGGCCGAATTCGTCTGTGTGTAAGCCTTGCAGTCCAGGGCGGCCCATGTCTTCCCGTCGCGGAGCGTTGGTTTCCTGATGCTAAGCAGCCTGCGAAGAGGTGAACAAGTACATGTTACCACGTCTGGCTACAGGCATCAGTAACACTCGCGCAAAGGCCCGCGTAAAGGGTGCGGCCGTCATAACAGGCACTTACACGTTGTGGAAGTCGATGACACCATCTGTAATCCACTGATCGTCCTCGATGGACATGAAGTCGTCCTTATTCACCTCGCATCCGACACCGCGGTGATTCATGAGCATCACGTTGCTGTACGATGCCTTCTGATAATTCCGGGCGATAGCGGCCACCATGTCGTCCGGCACGGGCTCCGTCGCCTTTTTCACAACATGAGGCGCGAACCTAGAAGCCCTTCCGGAGTCCTTCGTCGGCGGGCTGGAAGCAGTAGGATTGTCGCCCTTGTTCGACGCCATAGATCTGGTGACGGGCGGGTCGGGCTCTTCGTCATCGCCGCTGCTGCTAGTCTCCGGTTCATAGAACCGGTTGCGCTTAGAGACCAACTGTTTAGGTTTCGCCATCCAGAACGAGCACTCACTACCATTCGGAGGACGCAGAGTGATTAATAGGTGAGCACGGAGGGGATGGCTGGGTGAGCACAGCTACTCACGGATCTCGCGACAGTGGCACTATTCGGAATGAAGAGGAGAGCAGGGCGTCACCCATGCCTTTCGTGCCAGGCTGGTCCGAACGTCATGCCCGTGCTCAATGATCTACACCGTTTGCGCAGAATCGCATGCGATGCACCAGGTGTGGTTGGACAGCTCACCTGGATGTGACGGTGAGGTCATATGCAGATCCACGTGTGATGAGCCGAGGGTTTCGGAATACGTGGCCCGAGGTTTGGGTGGGTCCCCAAACCTGGTGCATGGTGGTTTGGCCAGTGTGGCACGATTTTATTGTACATTCCGAATGACGCGGAGTCCGATGTCCCCGTACGCGGTAGGGGGCACATGGGTCGTTGTGTTCGTAGGGCGCGCCGAGCCTCGATTATAATCCGCAGTTGTGCTATGGGTTGAGATAATCGTGTACTGGTATACGCGGTTATTCAATGTTTTGCTTTATTTTTATGGGTATGTAAAAAATGTGTGGGTGGATACGTGCATTGCGCGACATTGCATAGGAAATTGCAGAACAACTTTGGGGACATTGTGTTTGTATGTACGCATATTCAGTCCTTGTTACTCGACACATCGCGCCAAGAGTATTAAAAAAAAAAACAAATAAATGAACCCTTTAGACTGCTTTTAATAAATAGCAAAACCTCATGTTGGGGTGTATATTTATTACGTGTAACACATGACCGGTTGTTTCCTGCACACGGTTCATCGTCTTCCTGCACATGTGTGTGCGATAAGTTGTTTATGTGCGTTGTATTAGTGTGCACAAGAGGTACTGAACAGGGTTTCGCTTGGTGGGCCGCCTAGGGTTTCACGGCTGTAGGATGACGGGCAACAGTTGCCTGGTGTGCGAGACGGTGTTTAAAGACGACAGCAGGTTACAGTCTCATGTCGCTAATGGTGCAGTTTGTCGCGCCGTGTTGAAGAGGAAACGAGAGAGTCTTTTGCTAGCTGCATATTTGGAAGCCCTTGCATGCGACGGGGAGAGCAGACCTAACACACCGCCGGCCTCCCGGCGTAAGGAGAATGATGGCAGTTTTGTATCTGTTGCTCCAACGGCTTCGCTCCCCGAAGTCAGTCTTGTTGGAGACGAGGATACACCGGCTGACGGCGAGCCTGCAGAGTCTTCGGAAGACAGCGTGAGGGCGGAGATTTTCGATACACTGACGGAGTTGTACCTTTTCTTCAGGGATGCCGATCTTTCGTACAGGGAGGTTAACCGTCTGCTACACATTTTCCGCAATCCACTCTTCAACCTACGGGCCCTCAGACGATGGCGCAACTGGGTGGACGTGCGCCGCTGGGGCATGGCGCGCGCTCCCGCCGACATGGTCCCTTGGAAAACGGAGGAAATTGTGGTGCGGGGCCCCAAAGGAATGCAAATGAAGCTGCTACTGCACTTCCGCGACACAGAGCTGGTTCGTAATAGGAGCCCAACACAGCGGGCGACGTCGTAATGAAGTGTCGCCCGAGACATCCGTTCATTACCTACCATAACTCGCACCTGATTCCACCCCGATACCCGCAGATTTTGAAGAAGCTGGTGCGGACGTTCTCATCGAAGAAGGGGTTCGTTAGGAAACCAAGGAAGTTTCATCGGAAGAAGAACAACGAGAGGGTGTTTGAAGGACCGGAGACGGGTGTTTGGATGCACGCTGCCCAGGTACGCGCAGCGTTTGGCCTCTCCCCATTAATTGTGGATTACAACAAGCACGTTGCAGTCGAATACCCACAGCTCACCGGCACGTGTGGTGCACATGGAAGAAGGAGATTAATGATGAGGATGCACTCATTCTAGGCGTGCTGATATACAGTGACAGCACCCAGGCATCACGGAATGGCAGGAGGAACGCGTGGCCGGTGCTGATCTCACTTATCAACATTCCGGCGGAATTGCGAGGGCACACATTGGCGGCGGTGCTTCCGTTCCCACCTGAGTGGGCATCGCCTACGGAGAAGACGCGAGTGTTCCAGGAGGCACTAAAGATCATCCTCGCGCCCATCATGCGAGAGTCTGCAAGGTACACTGGGGGAGAGGGGTGGTGTTGACAGTGCTACACGAAGTCGGCCGTGGTGTGCACCCCATCAAGTAGCGAGTGGAGAGAGGACACCGACTTGTGTATATGTGACATCACTAACTGCACACCATGTGTGCATTTGTACACTACGCAGTGCGCCAGTTCGCTTCTTCTACTGCACAGACGCGGACGAGAAGGTGCACAAGGCGGTCCCTTGCCTGTACGGATACCCTGCCGACTTCCCTGAATCCAGCAGAGCATCTGCGACGCTTCAGCAAGGGTCGCATCGACCATGCGCTAACTGCTATGCAGACAAGGGGGAGTTGACCATGATGGTGGGGAAGGTGGATCCACGTACCCTCGAGAAGCAGAGGGACATTGTCCAACAGATCCTGGCGTGTAAGAAGCAAAGCCACGCTGACGATGTGCGGAAGTTGTGGTCAACCCATCCGATCGAGGTGTGTTTCGAGTTGGATAGGATCCTGGTTTAGGGTTCCAGTGGGCACGTGTTGACACCGTCGTGTCCTCCGCTGCACCGTGCAGTGCGTGCTTCACATGTGGAATTTCGCAGACACAGAGTGGGGCAACGTGTATCTGGCATGCCTTGCAGACACACTGCATGTTCTGGACTCTGGTGTGCTGATCCACATGATTGCAGCTGCTTGAACGGTGAGCCGGGTGGTGCTGGGTGGTCGAACTGGGCATGCTCTACCGAAATTAGTGTCAGTTGGTTTGTAGGACACCATGTGTGCCGCTACATGAGCTCCTCGAATCCGTGTTGTGCGCAGACGCAAGAAGGAGTTCAAGGCCATCACGCCTAGCGTTCTCCTCCGAATCCCAGGGGGCTCATCGTTCTTCAGTTCAGGCGCAAATTACGCCGCGTTCGAGCACAGGAGCATGATGCAGATAATGCCGATATTGGTGGCTGACGAGAGTGCATTGAAGGGTGGAGAGGAGGGAGAGCTGCGTGCTTTGCAGGTCAAAGCGTTCCGGCTGTTTGCTGTGTTTTACAAGGGGGGTTGACAGGCACACACATACAACAATTGCGATTGCACGTCAGCATGCGATAGCGTGAGTACATACATGAGTACGCCGAGAGGTTTGTCGGGGTGCTGGGAGCGTGTGCGGTGTGATTGTGCGGACAATGTGGTGTGATACACGATGGTTCATCGAGTGTTGTATGCTTTTGTGGACGGTGTGGCAGGTTGGTGGAGTTGCTACCGCGGGCATTTCCAAAGCAGGCATCCCACTGGAGACTCCCAAAGATACACATGATAAGGCACTTACTGGACAACGTTGTCCACCGTGGGATGCCGCACCATTATTCCACGGAAATGTGGGAGCGCACGCACAAGGGCACGGTTAAGGGTCCAGTAAGAGGGAGCAACTGGAGCGACATTCCACGCCGCATTGTGGAGGAGGAGGTGCAGCGAGAGGTGTACCGTGAAGTGGCTACAGACGCGGGGGGTGGGCGACAGTACGCGACCGCATTGAGCGAGGTGAGTACGGGTGTGTCAGAAGAACTGAACGAAGAATGAATGAACTAGCAGTGAAATGAGTACAAGTACCTAACCCTAGAATTGTGTACCCCCTATAGGCTAACCCACTGCAGCCTAAACAAGCACAACACATATAATGTTTGACACACCCCCATAGGCAAAGTGGGGGAGAGCAAGGGGTCACAAGACCAGTCAAAGCAAAGCAAAGCAAGCTCAGGGTGGATCTCAAGGATACCACACAAATTCCGAGCACAAGCAAGTGGTCACAAGACCAGTTCACATGCAGGTTGATAAAATAGCAAGAGATACAGTGATCACAACCTAGCAAGAGTAAACATGCAGGCATATATATAAGATCACAGTACAAGCAGAGTCAAGAAGTAAGTAAGTGAGGTCCAGCAGGCACAAGGCCTAGAAGAGTACAGAAACGCTGATGGTCACAAGGCTGAAGCGCCTTGGTGAACACATCAGCAAGGTTGGCCTCAGTGGCCACGTAACGCAGACGTAGCTGACCACGCTGCTGCAGCTCTCGAGCAAGGAAGTACCGCAGGGCAATGTGCTTCGTTCTGTGCTCCAGTCTGTGCTCCTCACACAAGGCAATGGCAGCCTGGTTGTCGACGTACAGCACTGGAGGAGAACGAGGCCGCTCTCCCAAGTCGGTCAGCAGGTAGGTCAGCCAGCGTAGCTCCTGGGCAGCCATGGCTGTGGCGTAGATCTCAGCCTCACAACTGGAGCTGAGAACAGAAGAAGAGCGTGTAGAACGCCAAGAAACTGAGCCAAAGCCAAGGCTGAAGGTGTAACCCTGAGACGACCGCTGAGTAGCCTGGTCGTCCGCCCAAGAAGCGTCTGAGTGTCCAGTAAGTACAACTCGGTCTCGCCCTCCAAGCACTAGCCCCATGCCCGACGTACTGCACAAGTAGCGCAACACCCTCTTAGCGGCATCCATGTGCTCCTTCCTGTGACGGCCAGGAGCGACATAGCGTGCAAGGATGCTAAGAGGGTATGCAAGGTCAGGTCGAGTGCAGGTCATCAGGTACATGAGGCAGCCCACAAGCTCTGGATACGGGCCACTCGGCTCTACGGACTCATCCGAAGGCAGAGCTGAGAGCGAGTGACCGGTAGGCAGAGGAGTGGACTGAGGCGAGGAGTACGTGAAGCGGAAGCGCTGAAGGATCTGCTGCACCATGTGTGACTGAGTCAAGGTGATGGTGCGCCGTGCTCTGTCCCGGGTGATCCGCAAGCCAAGATAGCTTGTCAGTTCACCCAGGTCTGTGCAGGTGTGTCTCCTCTGCATCTCCGACTTCACGTGGGCGAGTGCCGCGGTGTCAGCAGTGGCAAAGACCAAGTCGTCGACGTACACGAGGATGTAGAACGGCGGCAGCAA